TGGGATTTTTCTGGTAAAGTAATTACGATTTGATTGCAATTGCCGTGTTGGATATACCAAATCAATTTAGGACTCGTCCCGGAATTATAAGTAATCAATGAAACAAGGACTGATCTAAGAAGCACTGCTAGTTCTGATACCTTCATTGATAATATAAATCTCAGCGAATATCATCTAAATGATGCTCCTTTACGAGGACATTAAATGACTTTTTTTGCCGTTGGTTAAAACATTTTTCAGTTAAATTCTCGTTAAGCTAACGCCTCGTTAAATTTGAGAACCATATTAAGGTCCTTAGGGCGCCCGAGTAAAGGACGACAATGCACAAATTTGACGTTTAATCGCTTTATCACCTAAATACACCTCAGCGTTCGAGGATAATCGCAAAGCTAATAAAACTCCTGCTCTAAATTACACCTGCAGCTTATTATTACAATGTGTTAAGCGACAAATTCCAGATATCTAAAAGGAAAATTAGTGTCAGCGGACATTGTACAGAATGTTTCATATGTAATAGATGAATAGTACAATGACTATGGCAGGTTCATCCAGTTATCCTGGCTTAATAAAATTTACTGTAAAGGTAAAACTCCTGTAAAGGTGCTTGCGAAAAACTCTTTGTGGAACATTACATTTTCACTACCTTATAAAATTATTTACAACAGTTTTTATGCTTAATATTACATCGCTTGAATACCTTATCCTCCTTCGCTTTAAATTCCCAAACTGCTTTTGGCGCGAATTTTTCTACGGCTTGAAATTAATTAAGGTTATTACAGGTGTTGACAGGAATGACACGTAGTCGTACACAAAAGACTTCTCCTGGAATTTGTACAGGAGAAAGACGTTTTGAATTGCCCCGGGGCAAAGAATACGTCGCTCGAAAGGGGCCCCTTTTACAGGACGTCGCTCGAATACCAGAGAACAGTCCCCTTTATTTTAGATAAAAGTTGTTAAAGAGTGATTGTGAATAATAATAGCTATTTATTCTTGGGATTTCGTATGCATTTTTCATGTTATTCAATGCTGAAATACCCCTTTTATTCTCTATAAAAAAATTATATTTAATTTAGATTGAAAGTGTATCCCTGTATAAGTTATTTAATATTTAACAAAGACACGACTTTTCAATCTGCAAGGAAAATAACTTGGAAGAAAAACCCTTCTGTTCTTTCTGTTAATTTTATAAATACGTTTTTGTGAAACGGAAAGGCATTAATTAAGAATCGAAAAGCCGAGGTTAAATGTTTCTTTGATGAAAATTAAGCGAAAAATATTCGAAATTTTTGGAGTTAATTATTAATACAGACTTATAAATGACTAAAATTAGTCACAAAGGAACCGTGAAAGCACAGTTCAAGCAGTTCTCTAATTAAAGAAAACTTAGGTAAGGTATATGGAAAATATCCAACTTTCCGTTATGAGCGAGAGAAATCGAATTTAAATTGCCCTTTCTCCTAAATGATAATTTCACTGATTTAAAGTTACAGAAATTTTGTGAATTATTGTCAGAAGGTTATTTGATACGATCTTAATATATTTTTAGTACGTCATTATTTTAGGGAGCGAATTTGGGGAGTGAATTTTTCAAATGAATCAAATCATCTCTCAAATATTTTAAGGAAACTTTGTGGGAGTAGAAACATCTCGTAAAGTGTTCTAAAACATCATAAAGTAAAAAGTTATACAGGATTTAATATTTAATTGCATAGTAATAAAAAAATTGCCGTGGTCAACACTAAAGTCGAATATTTACCGTAGCTTTAATTCCTCCACCGTTTCTTTCATTTATTCGCTCTTTATTAACGTTTTATTTGCCCAAAAAAAAAGAGAGGACGAAAAATCCCTTCGATTAAACGAAACGGTACAGTTAAAAATTCAAAAACAAAAAAGCCCTCCTGCGGAACTTTTTCACCGACCCGGAGCTTGTCGGCTTATGAACGTCAATATTGGATTTCCGGGGATTATTTTTCGAGCAGACATCGAAGCAGCCTAATAATATTAAATGGAATCTATTGCACACAACATAAAGTTGTCGCAGAGAGCCGAGAGAGCTTTCCTTGCCATATACTTCCTCGCACATTTCTGTTGAAATTGTAAATATTTTGTAAGTAAACCGTTTGTGACTAATTGAAATTGTTAAAAAATATACCTTCTGAAGATGAAAGAGTAAAAAATTGACTCATAAAAGTAAAAGTATTTTAGAATAAAGATTTTAAGAAAAACCTAATGTGCAGGTAGCGTACAAATACAAATGAAAGGATGTCAGTATTAGCATGTTATTTAAAAACACCCTGTATAGAGATAAGTGCAAATTTGTAAGCAATATGGTGCCTATGGGTGCAACAAAGACCACTTATATTAGTCTCATATAAAGGAAAAAGAGTGATATTTATTGTGGAGTTGCAACAGTAATTCTCACTCTAACCACTGATGTTATATGTATTAATAATCCTTCTTAGTTTAACTCATAAAATTATATTGAAATATAAAATTATCATATAGCAAACAAATTTGCAGGTATCTGTATGTATTACTAATGCAACAAGAGACGTGCTACTTACAAATACTCTTTGATTGGTGATAAATAAACAATTTATAATTTTTTATCATCTTCCATGACGATTTTACTATTATTAGAAATCCATTAAATCCGATATTTTTGGCTCCTTTCTTGTAGGAGAAGACCAAACTTGTACTAGCAATACGTAGGCAATTTTCCTACTCATATTATAAATCACCAGAATCCCCAGGTCACTGGCACTACATTAACTACTTTCTTGGGAATAAAGCCGCATTCCCGATAATAGGCATATAGCTAATATCGCCGCCTTCTATAACTAGAAACTACTAAATTTGCACCGGGGACTGGACTTTAAGGTTAAATCATATAGCAGCTGTGCGAACGGGCTATTAGTATTAAATATGCAATTTCGTTACCATATTTCGCATACATTCGCGGCATTTCTGCCGTCGAAAAGCCCGAAAAGAACGGTATTTTTTTAATTAATTTTCGCTCAATTATTGACATCGCGAGTTATCGCAGGATAGCCGATAAAATTAAACCGTAACTTTTTACGACACAACATCGGAGCGCGTTGACGTCACCGTGGACTATATTCCTTCTGAAGAAATGAAGAATAAAACTTTACGAGGTGTCGATAAAGATTCGCCAGTATGGGAATCGAGAAATAAACAGCGGGGTGTTGTAAAACAGAGAAGTTTCGTCATGGCTATTTTTAACGGGCTACGTGCTGTAATTAAATTATGCTTTCTAATTACGGGAAGTCAATATTTGATTTTTCAGGGTAGTTGGATCAAATTTCGAGTTCGACGGTTACTGTAATTATGTTGTATGTTTTGCATCATTTGTAATTAAATTGTTTTGAACGAATAACGAGTGTTACTATTTAGTTTAATTTGATAACTTGATTTATAAATCGGTGAAATCTCCTGTATATCATCTACAGTTTCTACACCAAGAAGGTGAGTGACGTCATTCAGCCTAGCCAATCGCAGTACTCGATTTTCATTCAAACGTATTACCAGCCAATAGGAGCTCTTAATAAATTATGAAAAATTTTACATACTAAACTTACCATCACTCTTGTATTATCTATATCAATTACTAAAGAACTTTAACTTACTTTACTAATTTTATGCAATTCATCTTTTATCAATTGGGAACAATTTTCAAACACGCACTAACCATAAATAATTAAAATGCTAAATTCCATTTTAAACAAATGTCACCTGTCAAAATTCTGCCAATTAAATTTGTCGAAGCAGCGCCAACTTCTCGAAAAAGGCGCGCTCGTGCACCTGGTGTAAAGTTCACGAAACTCAATTAACGAGGAGACCTATCTCAATTTATATTACCTTAAAATTGCTTAAATTCATCGGATGTTTTTAACATTGTTTCGAAGCGCCCCCGAAGCCTGAGCGGAACTTTTGATAATTTAATAACGCCCTCGAAATTCTTCGCACGGAAAATCCCTGGGAGACTTTTTTTGGGGGGTATCGCATCGTAATTTTTAATCAAGTAGGTGCTCTCTTGACCCATATTTCGCCCCGCGAAATTTGCATCCTGACGCCGCGTTAAAATATCGAACACTCTATCAGGCTGACGATTCAAGTTTGTTTTTTATTATATCTTTCCCTGAAAAGCGCAGTTACGAGGGTCGATAGAGAAGTAGATACAGGTTGCTCCATTTTTGATTGCAATATAATTTGTATAGGCTATGGGTGCGATAAAGACAACTTCCATTAGACTCTTATGAAGGAAAAAGAAAGAGTGACATTTGTGTCATTGCAACTTTTCACTCTGACAGACAGTCACTCAGTTCACTTCAGACAGTTGTCAAACTGTCATTTTAGTATCTTTCTTTGTTCAACCCATACAGGTTGCTCCATTTTTGATCGCAACATAGGTTTTATATAGGCTATATGTGCGAGAAAGACAACTTCCATTAGACACTTATAAAGGAAAAGGAAAGAGTGACATTTGTGTCAATTGCAACTTTTCACTCTGACAACTGTCATTTTAATAATCTTTCTTTGTTATATTCATAGAAATTACCATGTTGCAATCGGAAATGGAGCAAGGTGTATATTGATGAATGTTGAATATTCTAGGAATAATTAATGTGGATAAGCGTTTTTATTTAGAACTATTAACAATTGTTATTTCGTTATTCGAATTAACATTCTTTCATGGCGCTAGTACTTATTATACCAGGGGTGTTACATAAGTTTTGGGAGAATTTGAGTTTGTAGAGTAGTAAAGTTGAAAACTGGTGGGTGTTAATTGAATATAAAAATTGCGGATTCTTAATATTTTTGAAAGAGAAAATAAATGTCACTATTCTACAGTAAAATCTTGTAAATAAACAAAAAAATATTCATAAATATTTTATACAAAATATTCATGAATAAATTTTTGGGAAATAGTAATAACATGTACCATTAAAGATTTAAAATTTTCAATACAAGAAACTTACTTTTCAATAAACTTTCAATAATTCCAAACTTCCAAATCTGTGCAAAAATGTAAACACGATATTTTCCTCTCGCACCGACCACTAAAAAAGTCCCATTTACCTCCCCGAAACTCCCGCAATAAAATCAAATCCAACAACAACAACGATCTACAACAACACCAGCAACAACAACAACAACAACAACAAAAACTTTTCGCAATGGCAAAAAGACGACGCGTGAAAGACGGCAGCTTCGCGAAACGACGCCGCTCGGTCTGCCGCTGCTCCGCCACTACCTCCCTTTCTGGAGTACTCCGCCGGTCGGGGGGCGGGCGAGCCGCCCCATCGGGGGGCACGCGCATCTGCAACACTTGCATCTCGACGCTACGCCGCCGTCTGCCGCCCCCCTACCGCCCCCCACCGGCCCGCCGGCTTTGTTGTCTGGCCCCCGTGCCCAAATTTCGATGGACCAACCGCCAGTCTGGGCACCCAGGGGGGCACTGATTTTCACTTAAAAGGGTTTCAAATTTCCGAAAAATTTTAGTATGTTTTGATAAAACGTAAAACGCATGGTGATTTGCTCTAGAATATTTGAAGTATGAATATTTTAATGTAATTGTCTCAAAATTTGCGATTATTAGTCTACGAATATTTATAGGAATTTTTGAATATCCTAAATTGTCGAAATTTAATTTGCATTTAGCTCATTTAATGAGCAACAATTAAAATTAGGCCCCGGTCGCTGATTTTATTTTCGCGCGATTCTCTTTGTTATAAAAAGTAGGTAATTCGATAAGCAAATCTATTCCAATCTTCGCAAAGCGTAATTACTCGGGTACCTTTTAGTGTGTAGTTTTAACTGTTGATTTCTAGTGGAAACGCATTAATTGTTATCACGCAGGAAATACTCGAATGTATACAAGAAAATTTAATTTGGGGAACGACAGCTTTCTAGACCGCGTTGTCACATTCAGTAAAATCGATGCTCTAATTCAAAGCTGTACGAGGGATAGTCATATTTCCTACAGTGAAGGAATTAATTAATGTAGATAACACAGGCAGATATGTATACCTATGTGATTAATGATTAAGTTGAAATCCAATGAGATCCAACAGAACTGTTACGATATAATTTTCAATAATTGAAATTTCAAGAATGTTATGAGAATGGCCCGGATTCAGCGAATTTCTATAACATAAACAATGTCCATAGTTACTCCATAACAACAATGTAAAACTGTCAAGTTAAACAATATCCATAGTTACCCCATAACAACAATGTAAAACTGTCAAATTAAACCACTCAAAATGACGACTGTTTAATGACCTTAGTGTTTAATTTTGTCTAATCGAAAATATTGGTTAATTCAAAAAACGAATAATGAAATACTGGGCAAATAAAAGCAATATTCTGAAAAATAAAACATCTAATTTAGACGAAATTGAAGTACCTAAACGGGTAGGTATTCAGGGCCGCCTATTTCGGTTAACAATAGCACAAAAAACGTAAAAGCAAAAAAATCTCTTGAAAACTTCATTCAAAACTTGTTGAAGAAAGCACTCGAATTCCTTTCAGTGCCCCGTTCGTTAACTTTGTGCTTTTCAATTTACCAACACACTTATTTAATTAAAACGAAGCATATGTATTAAACGTATATTAATTTTATTGTAAATTTAAAATCGCATTATTTACAAAGGGATATTTACAAGTACTAATATAGATTAAAAAGCTGCAATAAACATTAAAACACTCCTAATATAATAAAATATCTATGTACAATAAAATAAACTAGCGCAAAGTTATAACTAAGCCAAAACGAGTCGCTTTAAAGCACTAGCGAGCTTTAAATGCATTAAAACTTTTAACTGTCTCATAACAAATTAACATTAATTTATATACTTTCCGAATCCATCTAAAATAAATTACAAACCGAACCTATACCCCCGCAACTAACGAATTAGAGACTTAAAATAACTTTATTCCTCTTATTACTACATCATTAAAAAAACGTCAGTTCAATGGACTCTGTCATACAGACCGCTAAAATTTATCACAAATCAGTTATTACATTAAGCAGTTCCTCGAAAATCACACGTCCTGCGAGTCTATTCTGTTGTACTGCACCTTCCTGCTGACGGCCTCCAGGAAAGGCCCGAATTTCCCTCTCATGCTGTCCTTCTTCAGGTACCCATAGGCCCCCAGGAGCGTCACCAATATCAGCACCAGTATCACCAGAAGCACCGTCAGGGCTTGGGAGATTTTGGCGTGCTTCAATTCCGCTAGGTTCTTCAAATTCATGATGTACTTGGTGCCGTATTTGGTCTGGTGGCATTGCAAGGTGTCCCTATTTCTAAATTGAATGGATTGTATTAGAAAATTATTCGATAAATTTAGTATAATCGCTTACTTAACCATTACATTGGTTTTGTGCAACCAGTTGTAGAGATTTTTGATGGCAGTATCGCATCGGAAAGGATTCGAGCCGATGTTCAACGTGAGATTGTCCTTCCTGTTAGGATACGCCAGAACATCCAAGCGATCCAGATCGCTTTGCGTGAACTTGGTGATGTTGTTGCTCTCCAAATCCAGGTAGCGCAGTTTGGGCAAGCACGTCACGTTGAAATTCAAACTCGGAATGTAATTATCGCCTGTAAAACAAGCTCATTCAGTCTGCTAGTCGAAGCGATCCAGTCGCGAACCTACCCAAGTAAATATCGTGCAAGTTGGGCAAATCGCAAAACACCCTCTGGTCCTTGAAGTTCCTGATCTCGTTCCACTCGAGGTGCAGCTTGTAGAGCTTGGTGAGGTTGCTGTTGACGAAGATGTCGTGCAGATCGTCGGCCAGGGCGGCGCCCGCGTTGTCGGTGAAGGCGTTCGTCAGGTGCAGCTCCTCCAAGTTGAAGAAGTTCGAGAACACCCTCGGATGGTGGAAGTTCCGCTCCTCCTCCGAGGCGATCGAGATGTTGTTGTGGTTGAGGATCAGCCGCGTCACGCCCACCACGTGGTGGAAGGCCTTGCCCTTGATGTCGTGGATGCCGTTGTTGCTCATGTCGATTACCCTGCAATCAAATCGTTTAGACGAAGATGAAGACGAAGTGAAAGAGTATGCAAGTCGGATCACACCGCCCCTTTGAATGAGACCTTGTTCAACCCCTTGGAGTTGAGCTGGATGAATGCCACTCGGTGGACCTCAAGGTAAGACATGAAGCTACACCTTTTGAGAATTCCAAGTCTCTAGGTTGGCTGCAGCCAATTTTTTGGCGCTTCAAAGCGAGTCGCAGTCGTACCTTAATTTAGTCATATTCCTGTCCTCGCCGAAGACGTTGCTGGGCAGCGTGCCGAGGTGGTTGCCGGTGAATATCAGAATTTCCGTGTCGTCGGTCAGTTGGCTGAGCATATCGACGTTGGTGAATCCCAGGTTCGTGCAATTGACCACGAACATCGATTTAGAGAGATTATCTATGAATTGCAGACCGCAGAAGCATCTTTGCAACAACGGCGTGCCGCACCTGTTGACGGATCCGAATCCCGGGGGTAGAAAATAGCTCAGTGCGCAGAAAAACAGCAACAATTTCATGCTGGAATGAAACAATTATCTCGAGAATATATGATTTAATTGAAAAATACATGTAATTGAAAAATACATGTAGGTACTCATAAATTGTAAAACTGTAGAGACTACTAAAGAGAGTAGTGACCCATTTTCTAAGTTTCAAAGTAATATTCTAAGGTAATTTTATGGCGAAAGATAAAAATATCAAGGATTTGCCAGAGTTATATTGAGTTTACTAAAGCAATTTTAGAACATGATACGTTGTATAATTTCATGACGGTATACAAAGCTGAAACAAAAATGATAATACGGCAAAAGTTCAATTACCTGCTAGTTTATTTAGGAAAGTAATGAAAATCTTATTAATTTTTAGCTGATCTTATATTGATAAATATTCGATTCTATTGTTTCTATTCTCATAGTGAAGTTTTGATATTTAATGAACTGAATAGTAGGTAAACGATTTTGAATTAGTTACTTTAATGACTTGTTTATACATGCACGAGTACTTTATTTAATTTCAATTTCATATCTAGCCATAAATAAGTTAAAATTGATTTTTTACGTCAAATTTAATTAACTATTTTTTATATACTGCTGTTATATATATTTTTTTCATTATACCGTTGTTGAGAGGATATGTGTAATTATGTAAAGAGAAAAAACCCAAAAGTTTTTACAGCAAAATTAGCACAAAATGGAAAACCCATAAAATTCACGCTAATTCGAACGATTCTGCAATAATTTATTCCACATATCTCCCCAAATAAGGAGAATTATTGTGAAATAATCCTCTTTTTAAATAAAGAACCCACAAAGAAATATGATAGAATTTACCTGCTGTATGTTCCTAAGTAGCAAGCCCGTCAAGTGACTCTAATCAAAATGCAATTAAACGACAATAAACGAAAAATTGGAATTAACAAAATGTGACACAACCTTGGATGACTTCAGATGTCTGTCTTCTACCTGTTGTAACGTAAACCAGTCTCGGGCTCGAATTGAATCACAAGCAACAACGAACAAGTAGGGGAAGAAATACCTACGTTCAACAGGTGTTGATCAATACGTGTTGCATAACTACTAGTGAACTACTTATATTAAAAAAAAGACAAAAATTTTGTATGGTGTAGATGTAGATGAAAGGAAAACAGGAGCTGGGAATTGGTATTGACTGTGGTAGAGCTGCTCGTCAATTTTGCAGGACCACTCCTGCATATTGATTGATCCTGACTCTGCCCATGTTTATCCAGACATTGCATGTTCATCAGTTGTTATGTTATCTCTAGGTTATTTCCTGCGATATACAGATTGCTTTGGAAATGCTACAGGTAGTATCAATGAAGAGTCTAAATATACTTATTGACTAAATGACTACTTGACTAAATGATACTTATTGACTTATAAGGCAACTCCCATGTGTCTCGTATAAAGAAAAAAGAAAGAGTGATATTGTGGGATTTCAACTTTCTCTTTTCAAATTTAGAATATGTTTCATTTTGTAGGCGAGACATTTTCCGTTATCTTAATCTCACTCACAAAAATGTCCCAATTTTATTAAGGATACCCTGTATATGAAAAACAACATTTTTTATAGCTAAGTTCACCATGACATTTTAATCGAAACCCGCAATAACACCTTGGAATATAATTCAATAATACGAATTACTAATCACTGATAATACGTTGAGAATACAAAAACATGCAAAACAAATTCGTAGATATCCAAGTTTAAATTCGAATATCCCGCCATTTTGGAGCTCGCCGCTGACCAATGGGATTCCATACGTCATTGACTTGACGACAGATGGCGAAACAAAATAATCGAGTGACACGTTGTTTACGCTTAACCAGCGATGCTTTTTTCACGTTTTTACCGAGAATCATTGTCAAAGACGATCGCATAGGGCGTACGCCGTAAGTAATAAATCGCAATTCGTCGAACATGCGGAAAAATCGATACGGATTGTCTCACTTCCGCCGGCCACAGGAAGAGGAAATCCCATCTTCTCGAAATCCAAGATGGTGATTTTCCCGTTGTCTTGTTGCCAACAAAAAACTCGAAAATCTATTTTCGCTTTACCTAACCTCACTTTCCGCGGTCGGTATCCAAGTATCTAACGATGTTTGTTGCAGGAAATGTTAAAATTAGGCGGAGCCGTCGAAGACGGCCAAAACATACAAAGAGCGAAATATATCATTTCGACTTCTGTAGCCAACAACAACAGTACTATTACTTTAAACGAAGCCGAACTTATACCGGTAAACAAAACATATCCTTTCGAATAAACTTTGTTTTTATTATCCCTTTTGCTTCAGATCAATTGGGAGGGCCGTTTGGTCAGCCCGCCTTTCGTGTCCGTAAATGAATTAGGCAAGCAATTGCTCAAAGCCGCCGCCGAAGGTACCGTGGACAAAGTAAGGCAATTACTGACCATCGGAGCTCCATTTACGGCCGATTGGGTACGTACTCTCGACTCGAATGCCTTCCAGTCATTAATTTTACGCTGTTTTCCAGTTGGGTACAAGTCCGCTACATTTAGCTGCTCAAAACAACCACTTGGAAATCACGGAGATCCTCCTTCGGGCCGGCATTTCCAAAGATGCTCGAACTAAGGTCGATCGGACGCCCCTGCACATGGCCGCCTACGAAGGCCACATCGATATTGTCGATACCCTCGTAAGGCACGGGGCTGATGTAAATTGCAGAGATCTGGTTAGTTGATGTTTAAAATGCACTCCGACTGCAGGCGCTGTTAACATAGAATGGTATATGCACCTTGCGATCGATTGTACTGAATCATGAAGCTTGCTTTCGTTAAATGTAGCTAAAATCGCTCACAGGCGAAGGCCTGTAGTTTGACCTAAACTTTCTCATAACGCAAATAACCTGGTGCAAACTGTTTGTTACACAGGTGCATATAAATATCCGCCTGAATTATTCGAGTGAAATAAAATGGATCGGTTAATTTTCAGTTGGACATGACCCCGTTGCATTGGGCTGTCCAAAACGGCCATCTGAAAATCGTGCATTTGCTGGTGGAACAAGGCGCTCAAATCGATGTCTCGAACAAGTTCGATATCACTCCCATTATGATTGCTCAACAAACCGAAAGGTCCGACATTGAGACCATCCTGATTAGGGAAATCGACAATTCGACGGTGGTCACCGACAATTTGGTGCTGCAGCTCAAAGAAGATAGCGCTGGTACGGGGGACAACGAGCAGGATGACACTTTTGTGGAGGACGTCGAGCTGGATATGGCGGATAATCAGGAATTTTGCGGGTACACGTTAATTAGAGGTAATGCTTTTTTTTAACTGATTTATTATGAATTTTTTTCCTTACGTGTGTTGTTTTAGATCCGGTGCTTATCGAGGAGGATTCGCAGGATATGGATCAAGAGTCTAATCAGGAGACGATAGGTGAATATTATATTTCGGAGAGTTTATACATTCACACAGGGTGTCTCAATTTTGTATGGATAATATAAACACCCTGTAATTAAGCATACCCAGAAGTTCCTGGTAGGATCCCTTTACCCAAATGACTGCTTGTACATGCAACATTTCCTAATAAACATGTATTTTCCAGAAGAAGAAACCGATCAAGATAAAATCGAGGAAGAAACCGAGCAAGTAATCGACACAAATTCATTAACTAATTCCCTTAAAATCCTGCAAGAACACGGCATTACGATGTTGCAAAACGACGACGGTAATATTATGAACAGTGTCATGGAAAGTGGACATTCAGTAGTTTTAACAGGTTAGTAAAAACTACCTAAATATCCTTCGACTCTCAGCATTAAAGGACGTTTAATTTTTAGATATCGGTAAGGAGGTTTTGAATTCCGTGAAGCAATCCGAGCAGAAGAAGCAAACGTTGCAGATGGAGAAAAAATTCGTTTCTGTTACCCCGGAACAATTTTTAGCAATGACCGGCAAAAATGGGGTTAAATCCATAAGGCCGTTGAAGGTGGTGCCCTCGAAGGTGGCCTTTAAAAGGGTGGTGATGAAGAGGAACAATGTTTCATCGATTGCATCGTCATTGGTAAGTTGAGCGCGGAATCGGATGGTAAAGGGCAAATAATAATTGATTGTTTTAGGTGGGAGAAGATTATCGATCTGTGGCGAACAGTAATAAAGTGAATCTGGCTCAGACTGATCTGGAAATCGTCATGAATCAACTGCTCGAAGCTAGGAAAACTATCGAAGAGTACAAGATTAAGTTAAAAAAGAAAGAGCAAGAGGCTGAGAGGTACAAAATGCAATTAAAATTGCTGATGAATCCGAGTTAAAAAAGGAATTACCCGTTTTTAAATTGAAGATTGCAGAGAATATTTTTATTTTTGTAAAAATTGTTGGTAACTCGCCTCTTTTTCACAATTTTGAAAGAGGTACTTAGGTTTAAGGTTTAATAAAAAGGTAAGGTGTTAATATTGTAAATATGTTGTATAATTTTTATTACTCCAGTATTTAAATAGTTTATGTTCTCCCAATTGAAATATCGTTGAATGTTAAAAAAGATTACTAATTACCTTTTTTACTCTTTTCTAAATAATGTGCATTTTGCGATGGATTTTGCATTCGTAGAAATAAACTTTATTTCCAAAGAAAATAACGACTGATATTTTATAATATAACAAATTGGTTACTTTTTTGGAAAAACATTCTCAGGAGTTTGCCTTAATTATGTGTAAAAAATGTCACTGATAATTTAACATAATTCTCGTTTTATTTAGTTTATTGCCTTAGCTTTAGGTGTATATTTATTTTTTCTAATGTATTTTTTTATAAACTTTGTACATACGATTTTTATGTTTAAATAAAAACTTCTAATTGACGTCCAATCCGCTTTAAAACCCGATGTTTAGATTGAATTCCAAAAATATGTATAAAAAAGTGTATTTGAATAAATAAAATTATTTCAACAAGTATAAAATATATATGGAATAGAATCAAAGAAAATGTTTCAAAGTTTTGTTTGAAACAAGTCATTTGATATACAGATAAGTGCAAATTTGTACGCACTATGAATGCAACAAAGACAACTTCCATTAGTCATATAAAGAAAAAAAGAAAGTGATATTGTGCCACTATTATTTTAATATCTTTGTTCAGTTCACAGAATTGGCCATATTGCAAACAAATTTGCACTTATCTGTATAAAAAGGCATTTACCGTACAAACCCTCTCAACAGTTAGTTTATATACATGGAATGTCTAACAAATATATTAAAATTTTAATACAATACAATATAAAATGACTTCGTTAGATACAAATACAACAGAAAGAAAAAGATAAAGAACTTATTTAATAACGTTCAAGAAAAAGGTGGCGTTCTTCGAAGAAACTTTCGTCAACAACTCGTCGCTCAAGTCCTTTGAAGAAACTTCGTGCCAAACGCACTTGCTGATGATGGGAACTTCCTCCAAAGGAGCCCTAAACGCCACCAATAGGGTCAAACAAAGCCCGTCCAAGCCCATCGAAGCGTCATGTTCAACCTAAAAACATAACAAATCGAGCATTAATACACAGGATGTTAATTAATTGAGTGCCCACACTTCAGGAAGTGAGCTTTTCTAGTTGTTCATGTAGACTTGAAATTTAGAAAATATGCAGCACTTTTTCCTGCATCAGATAATGCAATTCGCAGTTCTAAGCGACTCATTTGTGGTTTATTAGAGTGGATAAATCACAAAAACTACAAGATATCCATCTACTTAAGCCAGTGTATATTACCGATAGCAATCCGCAGGGTCTGTGCGAAGGGACCTCCGCCCCGAACAGTTCAATCATAAATCGCCTCAACGTGGAATGCAAACTCTTCGTCGGGTGAATTTCGCACGCGGGCAAATGCCAGGAAGTCCTTTCGCTCAGCAAAACGTGCACGCGATTGTTGGATTTCTTCTTGATGACCACGACGAGCCGCAAGAGCTGCTTGCAGTAGGCTCTGAGAGTGGGCAACTGGTCCTTGAACCAACCTTCCTCGCCCGCCTGCCTAGCTGAATAATATCTCCTGGAAAATATATACAAAGCAGATTGTATCGCCCTGTAGGATGGGTTTAAATTAAACAAAAACTTGCGAATCGGAGGAAAAAAAATTGTGCTTGGTTTATTGCTAATACGAAACGAGTAGTTGAGTAGACATGAGGCCTTTAATGAAGGAAAATTCTGCATTTTGTGTTAGTATTCGTGGGATTTATAAGAGAAAAAAACGATTAAGTTTATTTTAGTTGCAGAAAGAAGCATGGGAGGATATTAAGGAATACAAGGATAATTATAAAAAAGTGATAAAAGATAGGGAACAATTCAAGGTTAACATTAACTACCGTTCTCCACAAGTAAGTAAGCATTGTAATAGAAATGTAATAATGTAATGATTCGTTTTTCACTAGTTTTCCTATCGAAAAAACTTGGTAAATCACATAAAAAAGGTATGCATAGAGAAAAAATTGAGCCAATGTTGCCTCCACCTTGCAGTGTATCTCCTGGACGTTTTTATGGGCAACAACTTGATATCCAGGAAAAATTTGTATTTGACTGCAAATGTCTGCTTACTCATCGCAGGTACTTACATACGAGGGTAAGGTGAAAAGTTCTCGGCCCGACAATGAAAGATCGCGATTTCCAGTTGAAAAATTTCGTTATTCTTCTTATTAGGTCGAAATATTTAGTTCTGGAGAATGGTTCTAGGCAGTTCTAAATGAATATGGAGCGTTCTAAATGATTCTAAAGCGATCCAATTGAAGCCTAGAACTTTTCACCCCACCCTCGTATCTCTAAACAATATAAAAGTTATGTACAATTGCATGTATTGAATTGAATGCATTTACTTTCAGCGAAATTCGAAGAATCCAGCCACCTCGTGCCCAGAATCGCCGAATTAAATAGCACGGTGAACGATCGGTACAATGTCGTCCAATACAAACAATTGGAAATCGATATTTTGAATTTTTTTGGGTTTTTCGTTATGTTCCCGAGGGCAGCGCATTATGTCTATTACTACATACAATTGGCCATTTTCCAGGAGGACATTACAAATCGCGGCGTTTCGTTGAGAAACATTTTTTACGATTTACACGAACGCATAACGATGTACCTGGATATGATCTTGGACAGTGAGTAGAAGTCGTTCAATAGTTTCTTATTGAGTTTCTTAAGTTTCTTCAAATTCTAGTAGGCTGATCTGAATTCTGATGACAAAACTGTCATTTTAATTTTTATCCGTTTTCAAGTTATAGTAAGCTTTGAATTTTGACAGTTTAAACGAATTAAAAATAATTCTTCTCCATTGTTAATAATTTTCTGACTTAATCGCATCCATTTTAATACACCAGTAATTCATACAAGAAGACGAAATGAAAGCAAAAATTATCCCACAGTATAAATCATTGTTTCATTTTCTACTACCTATTCTATTATTTATCTCATATAACTTGTAAGTAAACATTTATTTATAGTAGTCCAACTAGTACAAAATGAGAATTTTTAAACAATAAAATTTTGTTAAACTACTTCTAATGAGTACTTTCCTCCCAGTAAATCTAATTTATTTTTATCTCATGCATAATTATTTAAAATAGCATTCCAATTTCAAAGTCAACTCGATTTCCTACGCAATCTAAATATCAACCATCAACTACCAACATTTTCTCATAGATGGCGCCTCGCGAAAATCTTTAACTCTCGCCGCTGTTCGCGCAGCTGAAAGGTAGATAGTGCGCCGCGATCGACCAGACCGACAAGATCATACTTCACAGGATCATTTCTGTAGTATATCTTCACATACTCTCTACTCAACTGTAGAGTTGTCACAACCATGATGACGAGATAGAGTTTCGTGTCTTGAGCGTGAGGCAAACATTTCGCGAGTCGTACGATTCGCGGAATTGTTAACGATGATCGTTCACTCGCCTTTATCGGCGTGTCACGGACACGAAACAGTCCGAATGGTTGTTTCAAATTTTAATCAAAACACAAATTTTCTTAATTTTTCTTCATTCAAGATGACTATGTTTACGCCCGTTTTATCTTTATAGGATTAATTTAGAGGGTTTTGACGAATTTGACGTTTGTATGTCATGACTGAAGTGTCACTAGTTTGTAAAGATTTCTAGATACACCTATTTCTATCTATAAATTCATCTATTTTAAAGTAGGCTCTTTTTTGACATATGTCATATTTTGTGGTGCTTAGAATAGTTACCATTTAATCAGGTTTTTTTCCTTTCGTTCCTATTGATTATTTACTCGGATTATTCATGAAACTATTTACTAGGATATTGTAATGACAATTTTGTACCATTCTACTATTTCAGATTTAGAACTTACAGAAAATTATCATCCATCTAAATTAGCTGCGGGGATTATAGCTCTAAGCAGGTTAGATAATGGATTGTCCTGCTGGACAGAACAACTCCAAGATATAACCGATTATGAACTAAAGGACATCGAAACGGAAATATTAGCTATAAATCATTGGAGCATCTCAGAAGATAATTCGTTTCATGTTCAAACCACACGCCTAACTAACTTTATTGACTAGATACTATTCAGTACAACGATTAATTATAAACATACAAGAGTAAATGTACAAGTACTCTCGAATAATTAATTAATAACACTAATTAATAAACTACACTCACCTGGCTCTTTCTATAAGATGTTTAATGTCACCGGCCCTCAATTCCAATTCGTCCAAGTTCTTCACCCATTTGGCTTGCAAGGATTCCTTGTCTGCTTCGGAGGGAGTTTTCAATTGTCCTCCGAGTACGCTAGCTGTGAGTACGAATCTCATCCAGTTACCTCTGGCCGATTCTACGATGAGCAAAGTGTTGCACCGGATTTTCAGGCCCGTTTCCTCCAGCACTTCTCGCTCGCAGGCTTGCATTATGTTTTCCGATTTTTCCATGTGACCGGCTGGTAAGTACCTGGAAAAATTGATGTTAGCGAAATTAACAGTCGAGTAAAGGGTGTATTTATTCTAACCATTTTCCGGCACAGGACTTCTTGGCTTCTTGCATCATCAGAATTTCGTCGTATTCGTTTATAATAACACATGCTACTATGTACATGACAGTTTCACACACTACCGGGGTGTATTTAGGATCTACACTGGGTTGTATTCCCTGGGATTCCAGCGCTTCGTTTTGTTCTTCTAATGAGAAATCACATATTTCTGCTTCGTTTCCTTGCAGTGGTAACCCGCTTAAAATGTTTTGAAGGCTTTTTTCAATTGAATCCGGCATCTTTTCTGCGGTACTCATTTAGACGCACATAATTCCCATCGGTGCCCAACTGAGATTTATCTTATGTTTCACAAGTATGTCGACGTTCGATTAATCTCTATGTAGAGGCGTAATAAGGTTCATACTTTCGTGGATTGCAACGCGGAGCTGTTAAACATTCCTTTCTAAAACTTGTTGCCTTGCTAAACCTTCCCAAGAATGTTATTAAATATTTGAAAAATGTAAATAAATTATTTCACCTGTAAATTTTTGACAGGTGTCAAGTCAATGTCTAAACGAGTGCTGCTATTACTCCATAGATGGCGCGACAAAAACTCCGTTCGTTTGTTGAGTTATGAAAAATTTTATTAGTTTAAACTAAATTCATAAATCACTTTTTTTGATTAATTTTATGTTAATAAATTATTTGTTTAGTACAGTTATAATATCAGTTCTAATTGAAATTGTGAAATCGACCAATAAATGATATTTTTTAGAGGTAAGTTGCACCAAGTCTACTCCGAACTGTCAGCTTGAAACAATGTCGATCATTCATGACATTTGAAAACTAAGGTCAACCGTCATTCTTTTAATTTAGAAAAAACGTATTTTTGCTCTAAAAATAATTAACATTTACGGATTTTTATTTTTTAGCAGCAAGTCTCCTAAATATTTCTTTTGTATCTTATCGCAGTGGCTTAATTGGAATAAATTTTCCATCTAGAGTTATCAAGAAACTGCTTTGAATTTTTGTTACAAGAAAATTACATAATTTTTCGCCTTTGTGCCCGATTATGTTTGAACATTCGCTCTACTAGTGGTTACGATAAATGGCGAACGTTTTTCCTTTTAACATCATCAAATCCGGTGTGGTCGAAGATGGTGTTGTGTGGGAAAATCAATTGGATTCTCAAGCAACAAGTCCCCTGAACTTCGTCAACGGAGAGGTCTCCCTGGTAGAAAGCATCAACGAGAGTTACATATCTGCTGTGGAGGAAAATGAAACCCAATATCTATCAGCGTTGGAAGTCACCAACGAAAACTCCTTGGAAGATATGCCCGATTTAACCTTAACCGAGTCCAAGCTAAACGTTGAAGAATCCGTAGGATTCGAGAACCCAACGGTCGAGAATGAGAATAACTTTGCACTAACCGATTCCGGTGAAGTAGTCATTTTCAACGTAGAAGGTTCCGATGAACTCTACGGGATTCAATTCGCTGAAGATGGCGATGGAAACATTCATAAATATCAATTCCAGTTTAGGTACTCAATCATTTATAAATTATTTCAGCGTGTTATTTATAGTTATCTTTTAGGAAAACTGAAGATGGACAACTTGAAGCGATGGCAGAAACTATACAGTTTCTACCAAACGATGAGGAAGGGCCAGCATTTACAATGGATAGTAAAAAAGAACATACCGTAGAAGTAGATGATGAAATAGAAAATGATTTTAACCATAAAGTTTACTTAGAAGACAATATGGAAGCTAATAATTTGCTCATGACCAAAACTGAGGGTAGCATCGAACAAAACGAAGATATATTCAAAGAACAAGAAGACAATCCATCAAAGGATTCTCTAATGGTTTTTATAAGCGGAGAACAATTAGACGATGAACAACAAACGACTTTAACTGATGAAGTAAACAATCAATCGAGTAAATATTCGAATTCTTTGTATCGTTACTGTTATAACAACGGAATTTATTTTAGGTTTAAGTAATAAAAACGAAATCGAATTAGAATCGCACGATATTTTAAACGATTTAAATGACGATCAACCCTCGGAGGGTAAGTTACTTCAGTTTATTTTAGAGTTTACCTTAGAAGCTTGTTGTTATTTCAGATTTGTATAATGCTCCCGATATTCTAAGCAATCAAGACCAACAAGAAACAATTATAACATATCAACAAAATTCCGATGTTGAAGAGAACTCCTGCGATGGAAATTTAGATATTAATCCTACCCAAACCATAGAAATGGATAATATTGAGGGTTCCAACGTAATCGTCATGAGAAAGGACCAGCACATTTCCGAATTCGAAGATTACGAAATTGTAGAAGGTCTTCCCATTACCGGTAATAAATCAATATCTTTACACAAATGTTTATTTCGTTCGTTTTTAAATTTTTAGCCGACGAAGAAATTAGCGAAGAAGCTTCATTAGAAGATGATCCCGCACAGGAAATTGTCTACACCGAAACCGCCATTCTTCCATTGCAGAAGACCGCTTCCTCCAAAACCACAAACATATTGAAACAACCCGTTTGCTCAAGTACACCGAAAATCGAATCGCACGACCAGAAAACCATATTTTATTACATGATCGCCAACACCGATCAAAAGGAGAACCTGAACACGCTGTCGAATCCGCGCAGCTTGCTGAAGAACAACGTGGAAAAGGCCGTCAACAACGACGAGAGCTTGAAGAAAGTACAAAGAGAGAGCCCGCTGGAGAAGCGCTACGCGAGGAGCAAGGAGGCCATGCAGGCCAAAATGTTTAATAATTTCATTAATAGGACTACGATCCAGCACGCTCCTATTCGACAAACCCGATTGCCCAGAAAACAGGAAATCAAGCCTGTCGATACCAGAAGCGATGAAGAAATCATCGTGAAAGAAGTAATGGTGTCTTCGAAAGGATTCATAGAGAGTAGTGAACGATTAAAAAATTTGGATAAATTAGAGGTAAGCAGATTTATTGGTTTGTATCGATTTATGGTGTAAAAAAATAAACTTTTTTCAGGTTACTAGTATAGTCGAATTGAGCGATTCTGATGAAGAAAGCGATCCCAAAGAGAACAAACAGAACGGTATCGAAAATGACCAATTATGCGATAAACTGTTATTCGATAATTTGAACAGCAACGTTATTGAAATATTACAGTCTGATGATGATGCTGAAAGCGAAGCGAAACCTGCCGACGATCAACCAGCAAATCCCTCCGAAGATAATTCGAAAAGAAACGGCGATTGTCAATTAGTGCCTTCATCGAAACCGGCCCAAGAAAGTTACCCCCAAAAAAGGAACAAAGCCGGCGAGGTGACGAATAAACCTCCCGGTGTAACCAGCAAAGAAATCATCTGCCCCTATTGCCCCAAGACTTTCCCGAATCAAAACAGCCTTTCAACGCACGTGCAACATCACAAACTAGAGAACACCGTGCGTAAATATCAGAAATTCACCGAGGCCGATTACAAGCACAAATGCGACCGCTGCGACGAGAAGTTCAAGAACAACATTTTGCTGAAGCGGCACTCTTGCAAAACGAAACCGCCCGACCAGAAACACGTCTGCGGCGTCTGCTCCAAATCGTTCAAAGACCCCCCGGAGCTTAAGAACCACAAGAAGGTCCACGTGAAGGAGAACTTGATGATTGCCACCAATACGGTGACCATATCGCCCAAGAAATTCCTGCCGAGACCGTCGACGGGGGCTTTCAGAGCGCCCTCCAACCCCGCGCCGGCCTTCAAATGCAAAGAGTGCTCCAAGGTGTGCTCTTCGAAAAATTTGCTGTTGATTCACGAGAAATCGCACAGGAAGTTCACGTGCGTTAGTTGCAGCGCTCAGTTTGGGTCCAAATTGTTGCTGGATACCCACGTGAGGACTAAATGCGTTAAATCGACACCAGCAGAAAGGAGCAGAAGGTACTAAAAATCATTTAGAACCAATTTAAGATAGCTGCACCACCCTGTATATAAACTAAATGAAACTATTCAAACCAGTTTTTTTGTAATCAAATTGCAAAAACCTGCTACTGCTGATTTGGTGAACAAACAAATTCTATTTCTAATTGATTGTTAAGAGAAATTGACGCTAATTTCGCAAAAAATTTCTAGATCTTCCATTCGTGGTGCTCCTTCGATGATGATCAACAGGAATTCCTGTAATATACCAACGAAATGGACTCCGAAGTCGAAGAGTGGCACGGCTAGTCAAAGCTCGTCGAGAGGGACGACGCCTAGAAAGGCTTTACCGACGGCAGGACCTTCTAAGGCGGTGACGCCGAAAACGCCGAAGAGGACCCTGCTGAACGCCTTTGGAATTAAATCCCAGTGCAACGTTTGCTCGAAGAATTTCAACTCCGTTTCGGACTTGCTTCGGCACAACGCCAAAGTGAGTACTCGAAATCATTTACACCAATTCTTAAGTTACTAATGAGTGTGGTTGTTTCAGGAGCATGGTCACTTTACACCTGACAAAAGTGTGCTGCAGCCGAAGAAAAAGACGCTTGTCAAACCGATTATGGCTCATCAAGGTCTGAAAGTCCAGCAGCGTTTTATGAAAGTATTTCAGCAGAGTAAACCTATCGATGAAAAGGATGCGAGCGAAAATTGATTATTTTTTGTTCGTTTTGTTTAAAATTTTATGATTACTGGCTATTGATTATTTGAACTAAATTTGTGTAATTCTGACGTTAAAAATGGATCATTTTCGTTAAAAGAAACGACTTCTTAAAAGATCCCCTTTTCTTGTAAAATGCTGTTTTTGTTATTATAGTTTTTACTATTATTTGAATGCGTGAAATACACAAACTTGGCTAAACGACGAATTTCTTGCACTTGTGTAAAACTTTCAACTATTTGGGTACAGATTGCCTATCGTGTATAAACTAATTACTATATAGTAAGTTTTAAGTTATACAAAGTCTTACATGAAATATTTGAGTATAAGTTTTATATATTTTTTATTATAATCGATTGGTACATTAAACTTTTATATCTCTCATTTTTGGTTGCTGTATTCTAGCAAATTATTTAAAAATCGTTGCTCAGTTATTTCCGATTCATCAACCATTGATTTTCAAACTTAAGAACAATCATTGCTAAAATTTCTTCATTTGCATTATTTGATAGAATACAGAATTTTGTTATTCCAGATTTTACTTGTTTGATGACATTTTTGTTCTTTTGCTTTGTGAGTAAATATAGGACAAATTTTTCATGAACAACATTATCTGATGGAGCTGAATATATTTTTTCCATTTATTAACAATTGAGTTATCTTATCCAAGGGTCTATTTAGTTTTTAATGTCAAAAGGGGACCAATGAAATGGTGTATTCGTTTATTAATTAGGAAAGATATTCCTGCGAAATCCATACACGATAAGGATCACAGTTTTTATTTATCCTCAAAATGATTAGTGATTTTTCAAAGGGTTAAGATTAAGAATTCCTATAGAATTGTACATAAAATTAGTTTCTGCTATGCAGACTAACCTATTATTAAAAGAGAATCTAATACCTTGTTTACATAATTTATGGCAATAATTTTGTAAATTTTTTAAATGTAATCAACTGTAGTAAACATTTATGTAAATCTAATTATCTTTTTTCTCACCGGAATACCAAAACTACCTATTTCAAAAATTAACCACAGTACTTTATTTATGTACATACCATTTTACAATTTACCTTTGGAATAAACATACTTCATACTACTTTTGAAATAGAAATTGCTGCTTTGCAACCTGCTTTAATTACATTAGACAAGGCGTTATAGAAAGGAGCTTCTTCTGCACCGTAATCAATCCCAGTATCATGGTGTTCCTGCTCCTCGTCTCTGAACTTCACAATGGTATCCATGAGTTCTTTATTACAATCCGGATCTTCCAACAAGGTCCTCAATTGGTCATTATAATGCTCTACGATCACTGTCTCAACAGCCACTGTGCACGCCATGGCGGCTTTTTCGCCCATTAAAGCCGTTCCAGCTCCTAAAACAAACAAAAAGTAAATATAGAGTGCTCCAGCTCATTCGAACAATTCATATTTATTTGTTTATACCCAACATGAATCCAGCTACGTTCCAAATAGGTGTCATCACTGTAGGCCTTACTCTATGCTTGCGGATCAGCCCTTCAAAAGTCGCCCTGTGGTGCTTCTCTTGGTCCCACATGTGCTTTATTAAAGGGCCCTTCGAGGTTGCGCCCAATACCGCCATTTGCCCAGCGTATATTCTATCAGCGCCCAGTTCACCTGCATGATCTACTCTGATAATTTCATCGAGCACTGCCAAGTCGGTTTTGCTTCTAGCCCCGCTGACGATTGGTAAAGATCTTCTACAAAGGGCTTGCATTGTTTTAATACCGGTAAATTTTTGTAAAACCTTATCCTATAATCACGTCCTGTTTTATAATAAATAATAGTAATGTAATAAATAATAAATATAACCTTATTTATGACATTGACAAGTAGCTAGTAAACAATAACAAAAAAAATGTCAAAGGTCACTTTGGAATTGACACTTTTGACAAGTAAAAAGAGGAGCGGGGGTAGCAGTATTGCCAGGGCGAATAGTCTAAAATTTGAAAGACTTTTAAAAAATTACCGTTTTTGTGTATGAGGTGATTTATACAGTTAATGATGGTTTTTTTAAACAATTTTGGGAGTTTCGTCACTGGAAAAAACTAACTAAATCAATAAAACCCCAACTAAAAACAAATCGTCTTACTTCAAATGTCACATAATTCAGTGAAATTTAATCATTACTGGCAACGCTGCAGTATAAAATTCGACGTTTGGCATTGACTGCTTACTCGATTTGACAGTGACAGTTCATGTTCCTGTAGTTTTCGAAGGTTATACATTACGTGTTTACTTTTTTTTCATAAAAGAAGGTATTATTCAAATCGTTGGCATCGATTTAATTATTCATGACGACCGTAAAGTGACATTAATTGCTTCGATAAACCCGTGCACTTCCAACAGACTGTTTTTACCTCGGTTGATTCGGAAACGAGATGACCATTATTGAAGGTATAGGAGACGAAGTTGTTCATTTTTTCATAGCTCTGTTCGTCGTCGTTATTGGTAAGTCGCCGGGCCGGGTAATTAATCAATCGATTGACGAAAGCGATTTGCAGGCACAGCTGCTTGGTGGACGACTAACATATCCGAACAGAGATACATCAGGACTGCTGTAATTTTGGAACGAAGGCGACACCGAACCCATCGCAGGCTCACCAATCACACGGAAACCGTTACTATTGTCGAAGGTATTTAATTCGATTAAAATCAAACACTCGTATACAACATATACACTTTTTTCCAGCATCCACTACATCTCCTCTGGCAGAGGAGCCTCAAAGTACACCCGAAACTCCTGTCGAAACACCAGCAAGCTCGGAGCAATCGGCTACCATTAAACCCCCTGAACTTACAGTCGAAGGTACCTCTTCTAATCAACAACAAAGCGAAAATATAACGGCAGAAGGAGAAGAGGAAAGTATCATCGAAACGATGGATGCCGATGCGAACGTCGTAAGGCAACGAAGGCTGGCCTTTTACAGTGGTTTCGCTAACGATCAGCCAGGCAAATATGCACAAGTTCGGTTGTCATATAAATTACACGCGTTATTTTAGATTTGACCGAGTCAAATTCGGGCCCTCCTTTAGAGGAGCCGGTCCCCAGCGCGCCCCCGAACGAGGAGTCGGAGGGCCAAAGTGTCGGTATCACCGTAAAATTGAAGTTTATTAATGACGATTTGAAATTGGTCGATGGAAAGTTGAACGAGTCTCTCGGAGATTTCAAAAAGTTAGTTTGAACTTGGTTGTTTGGCCTCGACACGAGGAGCTTTACAGTCAAACTTACTTAATTTTGAATTGTAGAAGTTTGACTGTATTATTGACTATAAATAGTATATCAATGATGAATTTTTAGGCGTCATTTCTTGTCAGAGTTGTCGTCGAATAAACTGGTGAGGTTGATATTCAACGGTCAAGTACTTCAGCCGGACACGCAGACTTTGAAAAGTTGCGGGTTGTTCGATAATTGCGTGGTGCATTGTCTGATTCATCAGAAACGGAATCAAGCCAATGAACAGGCGACCACCGAAGGAAGAAGGGAAGGTTACTCTTTCACCCACACCAACGGCTCTCCTAACAACAACAACCAATACAGAGACTGGGACTTAGGGAATTTTCTATTCGCCTCCATTAGCATTATTTTGTTAGCCGCCTGGTATTTCAGGTAATGACTCGATGTACAGGGTGAGTCAACCACGATGCGCTCCTATTGGGGTTATGGATCGGTTGATTGTCTCACCCTGTAACTATAAAATATTATAAACATTTAACAGGTATGAATTGTAGGTATATGTACGCGCATTTGTACACGGTGACTACCACGATAGGTTTGATACTGATCACGGGCATTTTTACCATATTTTTGGTGGGAATGTATTTTCCGGATAACGAACAGTACCCGAATCCAACGTTTCACATAAGAGAGAGGACCCGACAGCAACAATAGACTTATTTTCTCGCGATTCGGAAACCATATTTTCGGATTTACAATTTTATATTTATGTTGAAAATTTATTTATGTATTAAGTTAATCTATTGTAAATTAGTTTAATAAATTGTTTATTAATTTTACTTGTACCCTTATATAAATCTCCTTAGGTATAATGATCGGCCTATCGCTCACCCTAACATCATTTTGTTGTTTTTTTTTTAACTACAAATTCCTACAAATAGGTGATAAAAACATTTTTTCCAACTCGAGTAGCTAATTTTTATCCGTAATATTTAGTCTGAGTTGGACGAGACTAATTCAAATTTTAAAGTGCTCGTAAATTGTTGGGATAAATTTCATTTATTAGTAAATTCATCTTGTGACGTGACTAACAAAGTGAGTAGACAATTTATATTTTTAGTTCATTGCGTCTAATTGTGTGATCTTCGGGCTAATTATATAATCCTAATCCAGACAGGAAGAGCGAATGGAATTTAAAACGGAATTTTAAATATCTTATTTTTTTTAGTTCATAGACTCCTCGGTATTTTTAAACTTGTAGAAAGAAACGCCGACATTCTTTAATTGAACGAAAAGAGATAAGTAGCTCAAACACACTGACAGTTCAAACGTCAACGTCATAACTGAATTAGACATTTTTGACAGCCAATCGAACCTACAATTTTTCGATTCAAAACGAATGAATGGTCGTTTCGATTTTAGAAAAAAAATATTTTATTTTTGCATGACTAAAATTAAATAAACTAAGAATAAAATTATAAATGTAATGTATAATAAAATACGCGCATACTTGAAATAACGTGAAATATTAAATACTTTCGAAATAAAAATGTTATCGATACTATGTTTTCGATTTATTAATCGCTCAACCAAAAATCGATTCGTGTTGTAAGAGAGAAAAAAGAGCGAACGAAGTGAACTGAACTGATATGAACTGATTTTTATTAGCGTGTGTGTAGTAAAAGTCAAAGTCGTAAAAGCAGTGTGATGTGATTTTAGAAATAAAATTTCGTTTTTGTCTACCTTTTAAATAATTCCAGTGTAATTTGTCGCAGTTATCATGAAAATATGAACGGCCGTTATTTAGTCAACGTCAAGTGGAAATGCTGTTAAAAATATTCGTTTGTTATTTTTCGTGTTCCTGACCTGGCCCAAGTTGATGTCCATGTTTTATTGCAACAAAAATAATACGCACACTTGTGTTTAAATTTCAGTTAATTTAAGTGATATTAAGATGATTTTATCGACAAGAAACTTACTTCATGGCTTCCTTTGGTTTTGCATTTTCTTCGTTTGCCAAAAAGGTAATATATTCCCAAATAAACTTGAATGTTAGTATTCAATTTTCTCTTTTTATTTAAGGACTTTCAGTCGTCGAAACCGCAATAATACACAATGCAACATCTGCAACACGTTGCGAGTCCTATAACAGCACATGCAATAAAAAAGGTGCTTGCCCGGCAGAAGAAGAATGCCCAGTAGACGACCAGAAGTACCATTGCTATGTTCTCTGGTCTGTCGGCCCAAATGGGACATTTAATGTATCTTTAAAGGTAAATAAAATCATCAGTGGGTCATATTTGCTTACTTCATAGAATAACAAAACAATAATTTGACTTATCGAGGGACATTTACGATCATAAAACACTTAATTTGGATTTAAAAACGTCAAATTGTGTCAAAAAGTGTCAAATTTCTGACACTTGACTAAACCACTTATGATGTCACAAATTACATGGGCTTCTAAGAGCTTAATCAATCCTCGGGTTCTCTAATAATCCTATTAACAAACACATTTGATCGAAAATTCGATGTTTTTAGGGTTGTTTTTTGAATGGAGAATGCTTCGACCAAAAACGATGCGTGGAAACTTCGCCTGTGCCAAAAAGTAATCTACTCTTTTGTTGCTGCAACGGTAACATGTGCAATAGGGAGTTCTTGTGGGAACCGGGTCCCATCGAAGCTGCACCGCCTAGTAGTAAGTACAGTCTAAACGAACGAAACATTCTCATTAGTTACGATGGCCTTTTTCAGCAGTAGCCCCGGTCCAGGAAGCCACTAACAACAACATATACTACTATATTTCGGTCGTTGTCTTCGCTACTATGATAGTTGGTTCCGTATGTGTATACTATTGGAGGAAGAAGAACAAACACTACTTCAACGGGGTGAGTAATTTAAACACTTTCGTTTGAAATATAAGTTTATTCACAATATAAAGTGTAAAGAAATATACCTAGACTGTTACGATTTTTTTCACGCTGCTATAATCCAGTGGGGTGTAAGTGGCTATTATCTTTTTAAGGTAGCTACTAGTTTTATTAATACAATATATTTTGTGGTAATTTTTTAAATGTACATACTAAAGTAATGGAGTAAATTTTTAGATTCCCACTTCCGAGCCGAACCCACTACCCCCATCCACTCCCTTGATGGACAACAGGCCGATCACACTGATAGAAATCAAAGCCAGAGGGCGTTTCGGGGCCGTGTGGAAGGCCCAATTCAAAGGCGAAGAAATAGCCGTTAAAATATTTCCCATCCAGGTAAACGGGTGTTTTTTTTTTCGATGATCAATATTCTCGGTACTGAGTGTGGTTGAAATGTCGCAGGACAAGCAGTCTTGGATTACGGAACAAGACATCTTCAAGCTACCCCACATGGCGCACCCTAACATATTGCAATACATCGGGGTGGAGAAAAGGGGCGACAATTTACAAGCCGAATTTTGGCTGATCACTGCCTATCACGAGAAGGGTTCGTTGTGCGATTTTCTCAAGGCTCACACTCTCACTTGGAACGAATTATGCAGAGTATCCGAAACGATGTCTAAAGGTGAGTTTTTTAAGAGTTAAAAATCTGTAGATTATCTGTAGAAATTTAGTTATTAGTACCACCAGGATCTTCTTATTGAGACCTACAAGATGGTAGAATTTTGTCCTAGATCGTAGGACTTAGTTTCTCTACTGTTATAAGGTCATTGAAAGGTAAATGCTAATACAGCATTAATTTAGGCGCCATAATATCCGCTTATATATCACATAAAATGAAGGATAAAACGAGAAGTGATAATTAAATAACGGTTATATTGCAATAAACTACACACTAGAATAAGATAATGCAACACTTATTCGAAGAGGATTAAATTTCATAAACATATCCTAATCATTTTACATAAAATATGGGGCACACACGCGCTTCTTTACAACGTTTTCAACTCGATCCTTATCGAGTTTTTTTTACAAATTGAAAACGGGGTTGTTTCGTTAACATATTAAGCGTTATCTAATCCAATTAAAAATAATTTCTCCTACAAGCGTAATGTCGACTAGTCATGCCATTACCCTGCGTTCAGTCGACGCGACAATGCCGTTGCGCCTTTTTTTCCTTCTCTTACTGCTGGAAAGATGCACCCCGAAGTTGCGGTACTTTTCCCAAAGGAAAATCGACCTGAGATTGTCGCTATCCAAATGCATCCTGCGCGCGGCGCGGGAGAACTTCAGCGGCAAATACGAAACGATAATCTACTCCTCGTCGTTGATACAATCGAAAGACGCGGTTACTTTACAGGAGACCTGCCTGCCCCGTTTGCACCGACAGGCCACGTCGGATTTCCTCGTCGTGAACCTAGCGAAATTTTCGAACGAATCGAACCGCCGCGACGGCCTCAAAAACTTCATAATACATTTTCGAAACGAGCAGGACCTGTTCGAGCAACTGGGCGTGCTGAAAAACCGCGCGCTGTTCAATCCGCACGCGAAGTTCCTGCTCGTCTCCACCTCGTTCTATTCGAACCCCGGCGAGCTGGCCTTGAACATATCGAATTACCTGTGGCGCGAGAACGTCTTTCAATCCGTCATACTTCTGAGCAACACGAAGAAGTTCACCGATTTCGACGTCTACAGTTGGACGCCGTTCAAGGAGCGCCGATGCAATCACGCGTTCGAAAACACCACGCGCACCAACGACAGGTGCTCCTTCGGCGAGACCAAGTTCGGCTTCGATTGGTTCAAGAACAAGGTGCCCGAGAGGTTCTCGAATTGCTCGATGAGGGTGAGCTTCCCGAACTTCCCGCCGTACGCGTTCGCCCGCGACGATGGTTTCCAAGGAATCGAGGTTAACATGTTCAGATTGATCGGAGAACGGTTGAATATTAGCGTTAACTTTGAAGTTATAACGGCGGACGAGCAAGGCGAGGTGACGAAGGATTTCCGCGTTAAAGGCGTGTTTCGGCAGCTCCAGGAGAAATATTGCGATGTCGTTATCGGAGGCCATCCGAAAGGATCGCGGACGTCGTTGATGTTCGATGCTAGCATCGTTTACATGCAGGATTCGTTGATTTGGTGCGCGCCCGGCGTACCGCTGATCAGCGATTTTCAAAACCTGTTCAATTTCGTGAAGATTAATTGCGTCTTTTTGCTGTTCGCCTTCCTCGTCGTCGCGACATCGATCTTGTGGTGTTTGAGCTACAAAAACGCGACGGAGCGCGAGTTTTACAAGAGTTTCGGACAGATTGCGGTGCACATTTTCGGATTGTACACGGGCAGCAACATGCCTTCGATACCTCGTACCAATAACGTTCGTCTGTTCCTGTTGCACGTGATCCTGTTCTCGTTCGTGTTGAACTCGCTGATGAACAGTTTCTTTCTGAGTTTCGCCACCAGGCACAGCTTCGTCGAAAAGTACAGGAGCCTGAAGGACGTTTACAGTTCTGATTTGCGGACGTACTATTTTCCGCTCCAAAGGAGCCTTATCCGGAAATACGTCTCGAAATCTATGATGGAGTTGATCGATGCTCGTTGGAGCAATTGCACGGATATATCGGATTGCTTAGGGCACGTGACCGTCGAGCAGGACTCCACGTTGTGCTTAACTAATCTGTTGAAAGAGTACATAGTTCATAATCGCATGGTCGACGAGATATATTGCTTGAGGAAAGACAGAATCGATTTCGGGGTTAATTTCATCATGAGGAAAGGGTTCGCTTTGCAAGGAAGATTCAACGGCATATTGGGCAGGATTATAAGCGCCGGTTTGATAGAGAAATGGAAGAACGACGTGCAGAAATTCAAAAAGCATCCCAAACGACATAAACAGCGTGTTATAACGTTCAAGATTTTCCTGGCGTGTATTTTGCTGTTACTCACGATGTATTCGGTTGCGTTTATAATTTTCTTGATAGAATTATTGTATGGTATCAATAGATGTTGAATATAAATAAAAAAAGTAGCTTTTAAGTGTTATGATATAAGTTTAAGTACTTACCTAACATACAGGGTGTTTTTTCAAGGCGAGAAACAACATTTTCGAGAAACCCACTTCTGATATTTTTAAAATTACCGCTGGATTGGGAGAAGTGGACCTCATTAATGGCCCGCTCGTTCGCCGGACTTAAACCCTTTGGATTATTTCCTATAGAGCCATCTAAAGTCGTTACTACAGTAGAAAATGTGGAAGCGAATTCGAGTAATTGTTGCGAGTAAAACTCAACAAGAAATAGCTCTGGTGTATTTCCTAAACAAAACAGATTTTCAATCATCAAAGGACAAAATAATCTTGGAATAGTCCTTTGGGAACAAAGGAGCCTACAATTAAGGTAGAAAAAGGGGAAAAAATTTAACTCAAGGCCGTGGAAAACCGAGACTTGTAACAAACACCTATTATTTTTTTTGTAAATTAAAAACGGCATGTTAGCCTACTCTAGTATAGTTGTTATCTAATCCAATTAAAAGCAATTTTCTCTTGAAACCCGTTTTCGAGTAGTCATGCTAGATTCGTTATTCAGTCGACGCAATAATGCCGTTGCGCCTCTGTTTATTTCTACTATTTTTGGGAAATTCCAGTTCGAAATTGGAGTACTTTTTGGAGTACGAACCGATAATTTATTCAATGCCTTTGACAGACACAAACGAGGATCTCGCCCTAAAGGACTCTTGCTTGTCCGATTTGAACCGACAGAGCACCACGACTTTGATAATACAAAATGCACAAGATATTTCAGTACAAAGTACGCAATAATAATAATTGTCAAAAACCCGCATATTTAAAAAAAATTACAAGCCCGACGCGAAACGTGCTCCAATTTGTATGTATTAAAACCGTTGCGGTGGTTCTATAGGGTGTTATTCGACGAAATTAACGACAATTATCTCCTATAAGCATAATTTTGAGCAGTCATGCGACGTTTTATGTTCAGTCGAAGCGAAAATGCCGTTGTTAATCTATTTATTATGTTCGCTGCTGGGAATGTCTTCATCAAAATTGCGGTACTTTTCGCAATCGAAAATCGACCTGAGAATATCGCTCGCCAAATGCATCCTGCGGGTCGCCGGCGAGCATTTCAGGGGCCAATTCGAAACGACGATGTACTCATCGCCTTCGGTAGAAATAAACGAAGTCCTCACGCTGATAGAAACCTGCTTGCCCGAGTTACACCGACGAGCCGCTTCCGATTACCTAATCACAAATTCGAAGAGCTTCGCGAACGATTCGAAAACGACGCTAATGGTCAAGAATTTCATAATACACTTCCGAAACGAGAACGATCTGTTCGCGCAACTGGCGATGCTCAAAGATCGCATGCTGTTCAATCCTCACGCGAAATACTTACTGGTGTCCACTTCATCGTATCCGAATCGCAGCGAACTGGCGTTGAAGATATCGGACTATCTGTGGCAGGAGAACGTCCTGCAATCGGTGATGTTCCTATCCGATCCGAGGAAATCCAATGACTTCATCGTTTACAGATGGAAACCGGACGAGAAGAGGCTCTGCGATGACACCCGCGCGAGGACGATGCGCATGCGCGACGTGTGTTCCTTCGGTCGAACGAACGCTGGGATGAATTGGTTCGGAGATGAAATAGCGAAGGCGTTTTCGAATTGCACGCTGAAGGTGAAATACACGTTTTTTCCGCCGTACTCCTTCAGCGACGCCGATGGCGTTCGAGGAATCGAAGTCGACCTGCTCAAGTTGATCGGAGAACGATTGAATATTCATTTCGCATTCGAAGTTTCGACGATCGAAGAGCGGGGCGTGATCACCAACGATGATCGGATCGAAGGCGTTTTTCGATCGCTCAATAACAATTCTTGCGACGTCGTTATAGGGGGTTATGCGAAGCGGACGAAAACGTCGGTTTTGTTCGATGTCAGTCTCGTTTACATGGAAGATTCGTTGATTTGGTGCGTGCCGAGTGTTCCGAACACCAGCGACTTCCAGAACGCGTTCAATTTTATCAGCACCAGTTGCGTATGTCTGTTGGCCGGCGTTCTGTTCTTCGTGGGTTTCCTCTTGCGGTTGTTGGGCTACAAGAACGCCGCGGAACGAGCGTTTTATAAGAGTTTCGGGCGGATTTTCGTTCACATCTTCGGGCTGTTTTTCACCGTTCCACTGCCCGTTATACCCAGAACCAACGGAGTTCGCTTCGTCCTGCTGAACATGATAGCGTTTTCTTTCGTCGTGAACGCCTTTATGAACAGTTTCTTTCTGAGTTTCGCCACTAGAACGAAGTTCGTCGAAAAGTATAAGACCCTGAGGGACGTTTACGCTTCCGATTTGAAGACCTACTACTTACCGGGGCAAAGGAAATTCCTGGAGTACTATCTCGATGAAAAGGCTATGAGCGAGGTCGCAGCTCGGTGGAGGTTTTGCCCCAATTTCGACGATTGCCTAAGATTCTTGACCGTCGATCAGGATTCCACGCTTTCTATGACTAAACTCATAAAAGATTACGTTGTCCACAATCAACTGATTGAGGATTTGTATTGCTTGAAAGACGAAGCCATTGATTACAATGTTAACTTCGTTATGAGGAAGGGTTTTCCGCTGCAGCAAAGATTTAACGACATACTGAGCAGAATCATTAGCGCCGGGCTGATTCAGAAATGGGAGAAAGACACTCATAAATACAAACATCGACCGAAAATTAATAAACGGCAATTAATAACATTCAATATTTTCCTGTCGTCTGTTTGGCTGTTGCTCATTATGTATTCGATTGCATTTATAGTTCTTTTAATAGAACTATTGTACGGTACAAAGGGATGTTGAAATTGCTGTAATTTTTCCTACAGTAAAGCTACTTTGGTAGCAAATTAATTGCAAAAGTAGTAAAATAGAAGATAAAATAAAATTAGAAATGTCTCTACAATAAGAAAAAAGTAAAAGACAGTGTAAAAGTGCATTCGACCAATCACCAAGGATATAAAAAATAATAACTTGTAATTCCATATTAATTTTTAATTGAGGCTCGCACGAAACAATTCCAACTTTACATCATTTCCATTTTTTTCATTTCCCACAGATTTCTATCGTTATATCACGAGCTTAACCAAACGAATAAATAATTAATTATGTTTGTGAAACAATTATTCCACATATCATTTTCGAACACATTTGATACATCTACTAACTGAACAACAAGTTAAACCGATCACAAAGAATGTACACTTCGTGGTTTTTGCTGTTGCTTCTCCAAATCGCCCCGGAAGCGAAGATCCTTCCGATATCCCTTCACGACCTAAACGTCAGGGAGTCTTTATCGCAATGCATTCTCTACGGCGTAAAGCATTTCTTCGCGGACATCACCCACCGCACGATTCTCTACAACATGCCGTTGACCCCGCGAAAGGAGAGCCCGATGACTTTGGACAGATTCCTGCTGCCCCGCTTGGGCGAACTCGCCCAATTCGACCTGATGACCACCAAGCTAGTAGGAAAAGTCCGGCGCAGCAACCGCGTGAACAAGTTCATCGTTCACTTCAAAAACGAAACCGATTTGGACCAGCAATTGGTGATGTTGAGGGCCAACTATCTGCTCGAGCCTTTCGGAAAGTACATTTTGGCGTCGACGACGATTTACGCGGATCCCCGCGAAGTGGCCGTGGCGATTTCTCAGCATCTCTGGCGCGAAAACGTCGTCAACGCTGTGATTTTGTTACCCGACAACCAGAAGAACTTCGAGTATAATTTGTTCGCTTATAATCCTTTCGAGAGCGGGAAGTGCGGCGATAACTTGGACCGATCCGTGCGGGTGTTCAACGCTTGCTCGTTCGGAAAGATGAGATTCCGAACCAAATGGTTCTGGAATAAATTCCCGAAGAAGTTCCAGAGTTGCTCGTTGAAGGTGGTCTACACGCAGTTCCCGCCCTTCGTGTATTTCAATCAAACCGCCGGGGAGATGCGAGGCGTCGAAATAAATATTTTGAAGATGTTTAAAGATGCGTTGGATTTGAACGTGTCTTACACCGTGGCGAATACCGATTTAACCGGTGGAATTTCGAAGGGTAGAATTTTGACCGGGGTGTTTGCGCTTCTGGAGAACAAATCTTTCGATATGGTCCTAGGGGGTTACCCGGCGGAATTTTCCAAGTCGTTAGTTTTGGAAACCAGCAACGTTTATACCGAGAACGCCATAGCTTGGTGCGTGCCCAGCCAGCCTCGCCTCAGCGATTTCCAATATCTACTGTATTTCGTAGACCTTTCCACGTGGTTGTTAACCATTTCGATAGCGATAATATCTAGCTTGTTAATTTGGTATCTGGGTTCGAGAACCAGCGAAGAGCACGCCTTCTTCAAGGACTTTCCGCGGGTGTTTTTCCACCTTCAAACCATCGTTTACTCCGGCAACATCCCGGTGAATCCCCGAACCAACCGGGTCCGATGCGTCTTCTTCTTCAGCCTCATATTGTCCATATACTTTCCGATAAACTTCAACAGCTTCTTCATGAGCTACACGTCGCGATTGACCTACGAGGAGAAGTACACGTCCGTCGATGATATTTTCGATAACGATTTGAGAACGTACTTCTTCGCATCGTCGAAGAGGTTCTTCCAGGCGCACGTCAATCCCGCCGAGTACCGGCGGATACTGAACAAGTGGGAGAATTGCACCGATTTCAGGGCTTGCTTGAGACACGTTACCGTCGACAAGGACTCCAGCCTGTGCATTTCGATCCTTTTCGCCCGGTGGTTGGTGAAGTTTAAGTTCGTGAAGAGCTTGTATTGCATGCGCCGCGATAGAATACCCTACACCGTTAATTTGGTCATGCGGAAGGGCCATCCGCTGTTCAACATGCTCAACAAGGAACTCCGGAAGATTATTAACGGAGGGTTCATCGATAAATGGATCGATCAGTTCACGAAATCGTACGGGAATCGTAATAAAGCGTTGGAGATTGGCTCGTTGAAGACCTTCGTGCCCTGTCTTGAGTTGCTCGGGGCGATGCTGTTGCTGGCTTTTTTGGTGTTTTTGCTCGAATGTTGGTTGGGTTATAGTAGTGAAATTTTATTGTAGATAATAAAAGTATGCTTTAAGTGTTATGTGAGCCAATTTTCTTTAATACATTTCAATTCTACAAGCGTATAATTACCTGTACTCTACTGTTAGAGCGCATAATTTGCTAGTATTAAAATGATATAATTTTATTTTCATGTTGTGTGCCCTATACCATCCCTTTTATTAGCGCTAATCAAATTATACCTGACAAAAAATAATTATAACTGTTCAATCTATACGAATTAATCTAATTGTATTAACCTCGTTTTGGATTCTAAATATGCTTTTATCGATTGATTTGTAATTGTTTATGTAGGCGTATAACTTTAGTTTTGATCTAATTATTGATGGTAATATAATGAGTTGGAATTAATGGGTAATATTACTATGGAGCAAATATAAACATTATTTTGAATCTCTTCTTGTTTATTTAGTCGTTCCTCCATGTATTTTTTGCTTCTTGAATTCATTTCACCAAGCTCTATTAATCTTAGTATAGACGACATTGCTGCAATTTTCTATTCTCCCTGACAGAATAACCAAACGAATGAACCTTCTACTACCACGGAAGTCTAGAAACCTAATGAAATGAAGTCATTTTTAACCTCTTACAGGTTTGATGGTTCTTCACGAAGCCATCCCAGGCGAGCCATCGAAACCGGCCATCGCCCACAGAGATTTCAAAAGCAAGAACGTCCTGCTCAAGAGCGATCTATCGGCCTGCATCGCAGACTTCGGCTTGGCGATCACCTTCGAATCGGGCAAATCCTGCGGAGACACCCACGGACAAGTCGGCACGCGAAGGTAATTAAACCCACCAAATAAAACCGTTTTATACAGCGCGATAACTCATCGACACCGCCACAGGTACATGGCCCCCGAAGTCCTCGAAGGCGCCATCAACTTCACGCAGGACGCCTTCCTGCGGATCGACATGTACGCCTGCGGGCTCGTCCTGTGGGAGCTCGTGTCGCGGTGCACGGCCCAGGACGGGCCCGTTCCGGAGTACAGGCTGCCCTTCGAAGAGGAGGTCGGCCAGCATCCTTCGCTCGAGGACATGCAGGAGTCCGTGGTGCAGCAGAAAGTCAGGCCGTTGATACAGGAACATTGGAGGCATCATCCGGTACGAATACACTCACATTTATATGACCTGGCTCTGTTCCTTCTTTGTTGGAGTCTTGGTTGAATGATGGCTGATAATGATACTGAAACTTAGTCCAAATTCCTCGAGATTGTGTGGAACAAATTGGCTCGTATTCAGCGCTGTTTTTAACGCTAATCAATCGTTTGAACAGTCCATTTAACTTGACAGTTGTACATTGTTGTTATGGAGTAACTAGATGAAGTTCATTTACGACAAAGAGCCTCTTTAAACGATTGATTGGCTTTCAAAAAGAGCGCTGAATGCAGGCCTTTGAAGTTGTTATCGGTGAATGAAGAATAAGTGTGGTTTTCGCAGGGCCTCGCGGTGCTTTGCGATACGATTGAAGAATGTTGGGATCACGACGCAGAGGCCAGGCTGTCGGCGTCCTGTGTCATGGAGCGGATCAATTCGCAGTCGAAGTACCAACAGCAGATGTTGGGTTGGAGGATAGAGCCGAGCGCGCCGCCGTTGAACGTTTTTAAGGAGAACAGCATGTAGGAGATGGGTAGGGAGTGGAAGGGCTTATGCAGGGTGGCCAAGAACTCGCGCCCCACCGGGAAATGCCTTATGGAAACGACAATGGAGATGCCAAAACTGCAGTCGAAGGCGGGAAAAGGTTATTCCTTTGGTAAATAAAGAGGTTTAAAATCTACCAAACCCAGTAGGAATTTAAATCCACGAAACTGATGTGTATTAGCTATACACTAATTATAGAAAGATTCTATGTCATTTTCACTTTCAAGGTTAACAAAAGTTGCCAAAATCAGCTGTAATTATTGATCGAAGATTTGCTTTATAATCGATCAAAAAATGGATCATTCGATTCGAACCACTTTTGAAGCAATAAAAAATTCTGTAGGTTTGACGAAGCTTCTGAATGATCGATTTGGAAGCAAATCTTTGATCAATAATCACAGCTGATTTTGGCAGATTTTGTTAACCTTGAAAGTGTAAAGGAAATAGAATCTTTCAATAATGTCAAATTGGTGTATAGCTAATTCACGTCATTTTCGTGGATTTGAATTCCTACTGGGATTGGCCAATTTTAAACCTCTTTATTTACCAAAGGTATAACTTTTTCCTGCGCCTTCGACTGCAGTTTTGGCATCTCCATTGTCGTTTCTATAAGGGATTTCCCGGTGGGGCGTGAGTTCTGGGCCACCCTGTATAGTCTCTATAACGATTTGTCGTTTTATTTTTCAGGTAGATTCGGATTTCGGACGGACCGTACCTGCATAACTTAAAGTACCTGCGTACGCAGCTTTGTTACCACACTCGCCTGTATTTTTATCGATTCGCGAACTATCGGAAATTGTCGATTTTGGCGAAATCGATGCGGTAAAGCGTGTTTCTTTTATGATTTGTTTTCTATAACTGATGTGCCAATAGAAACGATTTCCTTTTTATACCGAGATTTTTATATGTAACAGACTTATGAATACTTGTAAATGTTGAGTTAAAAAAAAACTTGTGTGGTGACATTTGAGAGTTTTAGAAATTTCGACATGTAAACTCGATGTGTGAAATCTTAATACTAGATGTATGTATAAAAGTATTTTTTATATTTGGTTCGATTGTGGACGATTTGTGTTATTTTTGCGAAAGGTATCGCTGTCACGTAGAGTATTTTTATATTAGTTATGTTGTTATATCTTAAATTGGCTAGGACTTTTGCTATCCCTCTCGAACTCTATACACTGATTCTATAGTTTTTAATAGTAATAAATTAGTAAGTATAAGTGTTAGATTGAAGCTATCGATACTTTTCGCAAAAAGGGGCTTTCATCATTTTGATTTAATTTTAACATTGTACAGTTCGCGTTCCATATTTAGTAAAAAACGAAGTGACAAAAAGGTAGAGTAGGAAGTGAAATAATCGTTAATATCAGCAATATCTACATTTTGGTAAATGTGCTGATAACTTGGTTTTTGAAATAACACGATATCAATGCTGAAAATTTTGATTCTTTATAAAAGAATCTATCTCTATTATAGAGTTATATTATTGACGAAAACTGGGTGTTCCAAGGATTTGATGTTTAATAAAGTAAAGTTAAATTTAATCCTCGAAATATCCCCTTTAATGTTTACGTAGACGTAACAAAGACCCCTTAGGGGTAAATGTTTGTGCCATAGAGAAAAAAAAAGTATCTATTTTGTGCACTTTTAATGACCTTTTTCTTGTCGACGTTACATTTGTGCAATTGAGTGTTAAGTTTGGAGTAACTTGAAATGAACATAAGAAACGATTATATATTTTTAATAACCATATCGGTCTGTTTAGAGATTACCTTACACTAAAAGAGTAAATTTGTACAGTTTTTCCCGATTTGTTGAAACGTAATTTCGGTGATATTTTTCGATTCTTTGTAAATAACCTTTCCGGAATGTTTATGTTTAAATTTCAAAGGAATTGTACGATTTAATGATAAGTATTACGCGTTGTTGATAAAAAAAATAGTGCGATAAATTTATGTGTAAATTGCGAATAATTAATATTAGATTGGAAATACTTATTTCTAAATCGTCGAAGACAATGCGGAGTTACTTGTAAGTCGAAAATACGTAAATATGGATAGGAAAAATAGTGAATAAAATGGAAAATGTTTAAGACTGAAATTCGGACATATAGGGAACACGAGTCCCGCCAGAAAATTTTGAGGAAATTTAAAATTTGGCTTTAAAAAAAATCGTAGGCTTAGCGTTAACACGAAGTTTTTCTAGGTGACGGTACTTCCAAATTATTATTTTTTCTATATCGACGAAACTGAAATGATTTATATTAGTCGTAAGGGCAGCTAAATCACCCCGTCAGATACTTCACTCGATCGAAAAAAAAATGGCGTTTTGTACAATTAAAGCACTTAAAAATTACAAAAAAAAATCACCCAACCTTTTCTCTAATGAATTTTCTACGGCAGCATCGCCATTTCTCGTTCGAGAACTTATCTGATCGTGAGTAACCTAACTTTATTTGCTCATTAATCTACAGAGTAAACTTTAAAGTAATTAACTATATACATATATTTATATTTTGTGGAATGTAATATTTTTTTTAGTCTACTTATTTTCAACGTTGAGAGGACGGTATGTTCACGAAGACTGATTTCACTGAATTTATTCGAACAGGCGAATAACATTTAAGAAAAACGTCTCGTCCTGAACGCACCGTGCACGTTTAATCCTTAGTCCTTGCAGGATATCGGCCCGAGGAGTTCGTTGCGCTAGGAAAGGAATTTCTCGAACAGGGTTAGAAAAACTATCGGAAACTTTACAGGGTTGATTATTAGATATCATTAAAAGCGAACTCCCGACGCCAATTGTTGTTCTATTAGTGGTTTATTTTTTCGTTTGGAAAATGTTCATGTACTGGATTGTAATAGATTTTTGCTCATTTAGGTGTACGGTAAAAGTTGTTGGAATTAATCAAGTTTATTGATTTGTTTAATGAAGGTTTTCCAAACTGTTATACAGGGTGTCCAACGTGAGAATCGACACATAGCAGGAGAGTTTAGGGGAGTCGAAAATATATTGCCTAATCTCCAACTTTGACTTAATACAGCCAACTTAATCATCGACGATTTTAAACAATGTTAGTGTATATGACTTTATTTTTCAGCGTTTTTCATCAAAAGGAGAAAGGATTTTAAAAGACGAAAAGAATAAAAAAGCTTTAAAATCAAATTAAATCATCCACCTGGTAAAAAAATGTAACATTTAAAGGTAGCATCATCCCTTATTAGTGTAATTATTTTTTTAATGTGTAACTCCACTTTGAAGGCCTATAACTTCTCAGGAATGTAACTTTGTATTAAATTAAGTTGGTTTAACAACATATTTTTGACTCCCCTACACTTCCCTCCTCTGTCAATTCTTATGAGGGACACCCTGTATTTTCTGTTCGACTCCATATTAATTAAAAAGACATCCCTCAGGTTGAAACGAAACAATACCCGATTTTTATATCTTGCCAATATTTTGCAATCTTATTTTGTTTTTTTTTTTATTTCGTAGGGTTAGTTGATAATTTTTCCTACCGTGTACTACCTCTTGTATTTTATATTATAATTTTTTTTATGTAATTTGGTGCTTCTTAACAATTTATCCGTAATTTATGCGCGGCGTGTGCGAAAAACGAGCGCTAATGTAACTTGAATAACTCGAAATCGACGAGTGTATTTAATTTAATCATTTTTATTACATCGGCGCCATTTTTCGCGAATTGCTCGCCATATTTATTTCGTTTTGTAAGTATTACGTAAGTAGATAATCCTATTTTTTAATTAATATAAACATATCACTAATGAATTGTTTTCATGTGTAGAAAACCAGATCTTCGAATCGAATTTGAACCGAAAGTATAGAGACGCTCTTTTTAATGTTCCCCGCTTAGAGGACTGTCGCTTTTTTACATTATTGTGTTCGTATTTTTAATTGATTAATTTTATTGTGGATTAGCGTTAGATTGGATTCGCGAGATCCGGTTGAGTTGTGTAATCGGTGATTCTTTGCTTGTTTCGTTTTGTAATCACACCCATACTTCAACTGAAGAAATAGTACAAATTCATGTTTGCAATAAACCAGTAGATTACAAGCGGGTCTGGAATATAATATGTTTTAATTATTTAATTTACACCTAAATTGAAAAAGTAACTATTTAAATTTCACCACTGATGAATCCTTTGAAATACATCAATTGATTTCTCCTAAATATGAATTAAAGCTATTGGTTCTTATACAGGACATCCCGTATTGATCATTGTTAATTGCTTAGGATATAATTCATAATTTTTACAATATTCCCCAACAACTCACTTAAGTAGCAATTTAAGTGTTTGCCAAAATTACAGTTGTTGAAATTGCAAATATTTATTACCAGACCTCGTTTTATTTTGTTTCGAAACAAAAGGCCTCATTACTCAAACACATCACAGTTCAAATGACAGTACAAGAAATCAGTGAATTGCTGCATTCCTATTTATAAGTTATAATTTTTAGTAGGTGCAACTGTTCGGTAAAATGGTGAAGCAAAACTTTGAGATCGAGATTAAACACCGGGCCTAAAATTCTACGAAACTTTATCCCGTTCAAAAGAAGTTGTATTTGCTTTGGTAAACAATTTTCGATTGCTTCAAGAAACGCTATATCATTGAACGTGTACATACCGATATAAAAATATTACTGCCAAATGAAAGTCTTTGAACAATAGTTGATGTTATTTTGTATACATTTACATGTGCGTTTTGAATTCCATTTCTCTATCAATTAGGTAAGAAAATCTTCCGAATAAAATGTTTCTTGGAGCGATTGAAAATTTCGATAAACTATTTGTCGCTGTTTGGCCGTTATGCTCTTAACAACATCTCTATAAATAGGTTTTGTTCAATGCATTGTGTTTTTTACAGTAGTTGTATTCACCTAATATAACTTTGTTATTTTATTCTATAACTTTGTAAAACAGTGAAATTTATAATGAATATATAGATTGTAACTAAGGTCGTTTCATTCTTTTTATATTCAATGGGTAAAATCCAGGTAAATAAAGGTTTTTACTTTTTCGGGTAAAAAATACAATAATTGTTGTATTGATATGCTTTAATTACACACTAGTCGTACATAGTTGGTATACAAAAGGCCTCTCATTCCAAGTTATTACAATTGATTGAAAAATCAAAATTAGGAAATTGATCTGGTCTAACATATCTACAGTTTCTAACTAATAACTTTTATAAAAAAAAAACAAGTTTCAGCCAATTCGCGATGAGACAGTGAAAATTGCATCATAAAATATTCTTGAAATTTTTTCAACAGTTACATCCAATTTATAACGGTAAAACTAATATAAAAATAATTGCATGTGAAGACACTCATCGTTGTACTTCGTACGAAATTCGAAATTTTATGTATATTTACACAACATTGTAATAAATATCTACAGATGGATGAATGTCCAAAAACTATGAGCTATTAACACGAAAAATCCTAGCGTATTGTTGAAAAATCCAAAGAAAATTTCATGAGTCCAGCTAATCTACGTTATTTATGTACGAGTCTATAAAAATATTGAAAAAATACGTTATCAAAACTTTCAAAAACAATACTCTATCTACATGTAAAAATTAGAGGTATCTTCATAACGAAATTAAAGCCGTTGTTCTTGCTTCATCCTCCACATAGAAACTTACATTAGGTTGTTTTACTAATATACATATTTACGGGACGAATATACGTGTTAAATATTTAAGGCTACAGTGCCCCTAGAGTTGAAGAGCACGTTAAAACTAGAAGAATACATTCACTTTTATTCATTCCCATCATTCGAATTTCATAATTACTCAACAGAAAACTATTCTACTCCACTTAATGAGGTACAGATCGATAGGAATAGCTGCAGACGCGAGAACATGATTACAGTTATGCCTGTCGAACTGTATATTAATTTCTTAATACATCGAATATTGGGAATATGTAAGTAGAGAAACTACATTGTTATTCAATTACAATATAATAAGAGAGCCAATAGTTCAAACAAAGATATGTTCTTGTACATTCTACGTAAGAAAACATTCAGTCTTTAACGCTATACTGCCAGGAAATCGAATTTGCCTAACGATCTATGTAGATAGAAAGAGTTTAAAATGCCTGCTTACACGTTTGTTTTGGTCAATTATTCTTTACCCCAGACTACATACAAAAATTACAAAAATATATCACCGACAACCGTCCTTAAAGGAATCCTAACGTTCTACGAAAAAGACAATACACGTTTAAAAGTAGGTACGTTTTACGCTAAAAACCTAATTTATTTAATTTACATGTGTTTAGTTTCACTAAGGTACGAGACCGGCTCAATTCCTCACTCTTAAACAGATTTATAGGCACGCCATTACTCACCATTTTTAGTATTTTTTATCCCGTAGGATATCTATTGTTATTTTCAACAACTAATTCTAATGTAATAGACTTGTGTAAGTGACGTTCGTCAATTAGTATAGGTGTAAATAATAATTCGTAGTTAAACAGAAATTAAATGCAATGAAGATTAAATTAATAAAATTGTTGAGAATTTAACAAATTTGCGATAACTATCCCTGCAACTTGGTCCATCTCTCTAATTAACTGTTAATTACTCCGGTCCTGGATATACGAAAATTATCTACAGGTTAAAAAAGTTGTAGGTATTTTAGAATTTCTAATATCTATTAGGTAATTATAAGTATTTGCCTATTTTTCTAGAGAGGAAAATCTAATCGAAAATGATAGGTATATAGTTTTTGTTTCAGTTTAGGCCACAAGGAATAGTTTGAAATTAGTCGTGATAAGTTGAGAACAAATAAATTCGTTTGGAGAATTTAAGATGATACTTATTCCTTTGTAATAACTACGTCTAACTAATGGTTATCAAAATATTGGCATTTAACGATATACGCTAAAAGAAGTTCTACATATCAATCTAAGTTTAAAAAAATGTAGTCTTTTACTCTACTAAATAAAGGAAATATAATAGGAAAGTTAAACCTGCTTAAACTCTGAAAAATTAGAGTAATCTACTCGACATTCAGTTATCTAAAAAGGGTTGAAAATAGTTTGTTAATACTCATTTGTAAATCAATAAACAAATACACAAACAGAAAAAGAATGTTTGCAAGTGAATTGGACAGGTCATGAAAACATTTATTAAAGTTAAACAAAATAATCTGATCGCAAATCCGTAAGCCCAGCGTTTGAACGAAATATACCCACCCCCGAATTTCATTAAGTAAAATATTTTCAACTTACAATTTCAACTTCGCCCAATCCCAACAAAAACCTTGAACAAAACCACCCCCTTCATCAAGCCAACGGATTCCCGACCAGGCGACATCAAACTACTCCCTAATTTTCTACGCTTCAAATTTGATTTGGCACCACTTTGGCCCTGAGCATGGCGACGGTTTTTTGGCTCACCGGCTCCGTCGGCGATTCCGAATCCGAACTGGTTCCGAACGGAACCTGGCCCGGTACCAAGTTCGCGTTCTCCACGGCCGTCCCCAGTTTGTTCTTACCCAAAGCGGCCCGGTTCTGATAGGTGAGGTTCGACGATAAGTGAGTGTTATCTGGAATTACCAACAAACATCGAAATATATCGCGAAAAATCAGTGAAGGAGTTTGTTCTGCGCAAGTTCTGGAGTAGTTCTAAGAACTGGTTAAATGTTGTCCAGAACAATGCCAAGCAGAATTGACCAAGGGGTTTGAACTGGGCAAGTTGTGGACTGGATCAAAAGCCATGGAACTGGTTAAATGATCACCAAAACAATGACGAGAAAAAATGAACACTAAGTTTGAACTGTAAAAGTTTTGGACTAGTTCAAAGGTCGTGGAACTGGTTAAATGCTCTCCAGAACAATGCCAAGCGGAATTGACCAAGGAGTTTCAACTGTGCAAGTTCTGGACTAGATCAAAAGCCATGGAACTAGTTAAATGAACACCAAAACAATGCCAAGAAAAATTGAACATTAAGTTTGAACTGTATAAGACCTGGACTAGATCAAAAGCAATGGAACTGGTTAAATGAACACCAAAAGAATGCGAAGAAAAATTGAACAAAAAGTTTGCTGTAAAAGTTTTGGACTAGTTCAAAGGCCATGGAACTGGTTAAATGGCCACCAGAACAAGAAAAATTTTAACTGTAAAAGTCCTGGACTAGATCAGAAGCAATGGAACTGGTTAAATGAATACCAAAAAGAATTTACCGAAGAAAAATTCAACACAAATTTGAACTGTAAGAGTTTCTGTACACCAAAACAACGCCGAGAAAACTGACTAAAGAGTTCGAACTGCGCAAGTTCTGGACTAATTCGAAGGCCATAGAACTTGCTAAAGCCTAAAAAAGATAACAACTCACATATTTTATTCCCGTTGCCGAGATTGACGTTATCGATTTGATACCGGGCGGCCAAAACGGCCAATTGATCGGTCTCGGCTTCGTCGTCCTCCAGGCTGGAGTAGCTGCCGGTGGTGCCGTCGCCTTCGGACGATCCTTTGGAGCGCTTGTTGCCGGCGCTTTTGCCCATCGCGACGCCGTCCTCCTCGTCCTGCAATAACGCTCTAGTAATAACGCTCTAGTAATAACGCTCTAGTAATAACGCTCTAGTAACGTCGCCGATTCGATTGAAGGCTCGCTATCATTGCGAACGGCGAAGAGTAATCGGATCAGCCGATTAATCGCGGAGTGGCGGAGAGTAATTGAATTGCAGAAGCGCGAACGAGCTGGTTTTGTGGATTACTCGTTTTAAGGATTCTACAGACCAAGGCGAAACTTTCGCTGCCGCTGCGGCGGCGATTCCGCAGCGGAATCTTAGACTCGGCGGCTTATGAACATATCGTGGGATCCTTTAGGGTGTTTAGCAAGTTTGTACTTTATTAAGGATCCCACGGACTAATGCGAAACTTTTCCGCCGCGGAACTTTCGCGTTTCGCGTTTCGAAACAGCGTTTCGTAAATAGAACGCAGCGTTTTCGCTACTATTGCGAAACTACCGCTGCGGTTCCGCTGCGGAATCGCCGCCGCAGCGGCAGCGAAAGTTTCGCGTTGGTCTGTGGGATCCTTTATACAGTTCTGATGGTAAATGCATTTTTCTTTGAAAAGTTAGTAATCACGAATACAGTGTGTACAAAGCCTTTTATAATCGTAACATTCTTTCCGTGTTGCTATTTTTGATTTTCCTGCTTTGAGGGCGACAACAAATTAAAAATTTCTTGATTAAAGCGACGCGGCAATTTCTTAATTATTTTGTTAATCCAGGGAGCCAATTTGGTAGTTCGTGTTGGCGTCCGCATAACGATCGCAGGGAATCTCTCACGGAATAATTCTCTTTGAAAGCTCGATAATTAGGTCATGTTGATTCCCATCTCGTTTCGGGAACGTTTGCTCGAGGATTGTTGTTCTTTTGTATTCGAACATATTGCTCATCGGCGTGGAGATAACTTTGATATTTCCTTTAACGAGCGACAAACATTGTAAATAATACTCGATAAACAAGTTTTTGGAGCCAATTTCTCAAATTGTATCAAATAAATTTATTTTTATTGAAACAGGTATAAAAGTGGGCGATTACCTAACAAAAATAGAATATTAATACAATATTTTTATGTGCTGAAAATGCTATCATTTTTAATGATTTCTCTCAGTTTTCCAACACACATCGAAACTTCCAAGGTATTTATTTACACCGTGATATTTCGATGGCACTTCGCCGTTTTTAGCTGAAACTTTCTTCTAGCCTAAAGAGTCCATTGGGTTTTTTTTTGCGTGATGTTTTCCCAACTTTATCCATCCCTTTTGTTTTACTCATTTTATTCCCGGCCACCAACAATGGCCCAACTTAAAACCTCCACTTCGGGCTCGAAGTTTTCCACTCGCGATAGTCGCTGGAACTCGTCCGTTTAGAGTTTTCCCGGTCGAAAAATTAAATTATGAGGAAAGCTTAGTCGAGTGCATAGCCGATTGACAGAGATATTAATTACATATTGTGGTATAAATGCCCAGTTTCTTCGCAACAAATTGCCCGTCAAAGAGTCGCCTATTCATAAACAATTATGAACTACTTTAATTAAAACACTCCGCGTGAATTACCATTACGAAACCATTATCGAGTTTGAGTTTCAATTATATTGTCGCACGTGTTGAAATGTTATCCAATGTGCAATGCAAGTGACAGTTTTGATTGGCATTTAATTAAGAAATCTATAATAGTGCAAGTATTGGAAATATTTCTTACCAATTGCCCATCACTGCTTTCCTCTGACGTCGTATGATCAGAATCAGTGCTGGAACTTGTACTATCTTCGCTATCATCTTCATCCTCACTATCGTTATTACTCCCTGCTTCTTCGTTATTTACTGTTGAATAAAATAATTCACTGTTAATACTGCATAGTAATAATTCGTTTCTAATTGCACTATAAGATTACTCGATGGTATTCCTGGCAAAAAAATAACCCTATTCTGATGCAAAACGAGTACCATAAATCATAAGTTTCGTTTAATTCCCGCGAGATTTCAACACGAACGTATTCAAATTTCCATTATTTCGAACCGCGTAAATTGCGATAATTATAATTAATCTGTTACTTACGGGACTGGAGCTTTTCCAGGATGAGCGGATAGAATTCCTTCGCTGTGCTATTGTCCGGTTCGTATTGCAGGACTGCGAAACAGTACAATACAGTTATACAAAGGTCACTGGAGTAATAGAACGTAATTAGATTGCCCGTAAAATATTTATAAATTGAGAAACAGACATTTAACGCAACGTTGGATGATAATAATGGTTCATTTAAAGGCAGGAAAGGTGGCAGTGAGAGGAGAGAATGGAGGTTTTTTGAATAAATGAGGGAGAAATGTTACAAGATTGGTATATTAATTTACTGTTTTATTCGAGGGGTTGAAATGTATTGAATAGTGGATTAATAATTAAAAATTTACTTACTTAGTTTGCAGTATTTTAATGCCGTTACATAATCCTTTAGCATTACAGCAGATAAAAACTGAAAAAAAAGTGAATATAATACTATTTTACTAAATATGAACTGAGTAGAAACTGAATAGAAAAACATATGAATTGTTAAATGTTTTTTTCAAGCATTTCATAGTGCTTTTCAAAGCGGATATAAACATGTAATTTTCGTGTATTCTGCATAAAAACTTCTACAATGAAACCATGTGAAATGTCTTTAACATCATGCAAAGTTAAATTGGAAAACTAACTTTTAATAAATTCGAACTTCGTTAAGGTTTTAAAAAGGGCGTGTTACAAAGAAAAATGAAGTTTATTCAAATAGTTTCTATCAAACTCCACCGCATTTAGTTTTCATCTAGTTATACAAAATGGAATTTCATTAATCTCTATAAAAAACTTTAATTTCGAAAGATTATTCTTAAACATTTCTCGGAGCATTTTCAAGAAATATTTGTTCATTTTAAAAACCAACGGGAAATGTAATTGATTATTATTCGAGTATTATTCGAGCTTTTGATGGAGCATTTCTAATCATTATTATCTATACCAATAACGCTTACTTCAGCTAAAATTTCGAAAAAGTAACTTGAAAATTAATATACTGTATTAATATAGGGTGTCCCATTGTAACATTCATTTTGATAACAATTTGAGGCATTTTTAGGAACTGTTAAGTAATAATTGAATTCTGTATACCCAGTGCAAATCTTACATCTTATCCTCATCCTTAATCTACCTTTACATTATTCCTGCACAGTTACTTTAGTGTCATAAAGGCAGGTATAAGCTTGTATTATTCGAGCTTTCTATGGAGCATTTCTAATCACTATTATCTATACCAATAACGCTTACTTCGGCTAAAATTTCGGTGGGCGCCGAGATGCTCTCGTCGGCGTCGGTGTACTCGCTGAGGTCCTCGTTGCTGCTCGACGTCGGCTTCAGAAACCCGGCCATGATGTTGCCGTTATCCTCCGTCGCCATCCCGCCGCGGACTCCACGGAAGCGGCGGCTCCTTCAGCCTGGAACAATCGGGGGCGAACGTGCAGAAGGCGATAAGCGAAATAGAGAGAATCGAAGGGAAATCGTAACTAACATCGATCGGGCGTTATCGTAATTGCAAAGGAACTGGAAAGGTGGCTCGCTTACGTTTGTTTCGGGCCCGGATGGGATGCTAATCACTAATTTGACGAGATAGAGCGAGTAGAATTGGCAGTGATTGTCAATGGAATTGTCATCAGCAGGAGTTATCGAATGACTTGCGATAAACGAGGAGAAATGTGTAATTGGTGTGCATGTAACGTTGCGGAAAATATAAATCGTGTCTACGGCAGGAAAATTTATCGAATCCTGCCTGAACGTTCGTTATCGATTCGTTCATTATGAATGAAAATTGTCTTCACGCAATCATTTGCACGCCACATTCTTTACTTTATTTCTTTGTTTCGTGCAAGTTCACATGATTTATACTTTTTTTTTTTGGCGATTCTTGTAACTTCCTGGTTTTTCGAGATGTGGAGTTTTATCAGGCGATCCACTTACATTAATTTAGGAATGGAAAGTTTCAGCTAATTCATCGAATATCCTGATGATAATGCTTGAATCCATGATTATTCCCAGAATCAAAATTAGTTAGGCAAACTCAAATAACAGTTTAGTGCATACCATAACTAAAGTTTTAAACTCAATTTAATTGTAAATGGAATCAAACCACAAGGAAATGAGAAGAAAAGGTTAAAAATCATCCAAACTTCTAATTAACTCAAGTGTATTAATTTTTCTTTCTAAACCACCTCTTTTCTTAATTGTGTTTTCTTTACCATATTCCACAAAAGAAGTGACGCTTTAATTGCGTTCAACTTCTAACTCGGTAATGAAGTTATAAAACTTTGTTATTACGGGTAGGTTATACGTTTTGTGATAGTTAAAGGCAGGCTCGTAAAGGATATAACACTTACGGGGGTTTTTCTGGCTAATTAAAATGTCGTTTAACATGAAATATATTTCTTTTGAAGTTTATTTTGTAATACCGTTTCGCGTTTTGATTTATACGAGTAGCTAGGTGAAGCCAGTTTTCGGGTAACCCCATAGACAAAATAAAATCTTTCTTACTCTATGGGTAATTCATTCCACTTTTTAAGACCATAAATTGCGAGGCGAATTCGAAATAGACTTACATTTTGATCGCAAAAACCGCTTCTTTTGTCCCTTTATTCGCCTTGTAATCTTCCAAATCATTCATTTCTATTCGACTTTCGATTCAATTCGAGATGAACTGCGAAAAGAACGAACCTCGCTCGATATCAGTTTTCTCATCCCGTTATTCAAAAATCTCTTATCGCCGGATTTATAACGAACGGCTCAGTTATTAAAGGAGAAAGACTTTTACGTAGCACCGCCTTCATTAATTTCACGAATAATTTCATTATTCAAAAGCACTGAGAAATTATTATCACAACCGGTTGATTGATTGTATTCCTGACGTCCTAATTTTTAATACTATTAACTGGTGAAATTCTCTCGTAATTTTTGAGTTTATTGTGGCACATTTTTGCTGTAAAATTTTACTCAATTCATTTAGATAAAAATTGCATATTATCTGCGTTAGGTATTTTATAACTCCATAAGCAATAACTAAAACAAACAACCACGAGCAGATAAAAATACAATAGGAATCTTTACTGCCAGTAAATACGCTTTTCGCCCCGCGATCGACAATCAATTTTCCAATAAAAGACCTCCAATTACATTGCACAAATAGAGGATGAAAAATTGATATCGAGCAAGGTCGCCTCCGAGCCCGGGGTCTAATTGAAGGATGGAAACAAAAATAGAATTTTCAATAAATAGTAATTAATATACACATAGAATAATCGACGTTTATTTCAACGCGTGCTGGTTGAATGGTAGAATAAATTGTTAAAATTTGAATAATAATAACTCGCCTGTATTGGAAACCGTACACATTCGCAAAACAGGGAAACGGAAGACTGGAAATTCAAGAAATTTTTAATAAACTCTTCAAGCACCAGAATATTCCTGCGACGGTGGAATTCGTTTTTATTAGAAATGTTTGTTCAAGCCCGGTGCGCAAACAAACCTTCCCAACTCGCTGGTGGGGAATGGATTTATTTGTCGTTATTTCTGGATTACCGGTTTTTATTAGCAAAAAACCAATCTTCCTCTCTTCAGCAATTGCACGAATTAAAATAAAAGCTTCAAACGGAAGCCAAAATTTACAAGAGATAATCCTTATTAGATAATTCTTCTACTCTACATCCATCGAATTAGAACAACACTCGAGCTATTATATCACAATAGATGAACAAATTCAGCTCGTTTCTTTGATGTCGAGCCCCATCAGGACGCAAATCCTCCAACAACACAAACCGGCATATATTAATGGTCGCATAGCATAGTTCACAGAGAAATTGTAATTCAGCGGGACGTGACAGGGCGGGCATAATTCCCGCTAGTAAATGTCACTTTCATGTTGAAGTGGATTTTAATTAGCTCGGTCCTCGTCCCGCCAGATTCGCTCATTTGGCTTCGATTTTGGCCGCCCGAGCAGCGCCATTTGTGCGTGTAACGTTGATTTATGGCGGGCGCATTATGATAGATAGCTCAGTTAAATTTTGTACTGAGATTAGTAAATAAATAGCCCAGTTGTGCCCGGAGACTTGGTTTCTTCGTTTTGAATTATTTAGTAACTAAAAATACTGGAGTGTTTAAGTGAAATTGTGTAGCTTTGGAGGTCGGATGTTTGGTTTTGTTTGAAGTAAAACTGCTTGAAATGTGCATTTCGAATTACCCGGTCTATTTCTGGATGTGTTACCTACTTTATTTGTTGAATGTCTGAAGTTGCTTCTACTTATGCTAAAGTTTATGCGACAGAAGCGAGGAAGTTGCTATAGAGATCTGATACTAAAAATCCCTTTACTACTGCTTTTTATGTTTGTTTTCTGCATGTTTTACTTTAATCTACTTTTAATGCAGTTTCTTTTAAATACATATTTACATAATCCTGGTAATTTTACTTGCATTAATTAAGCGTCGCTAATGTAATTTAACAAATACTTGGGCTTTTCACTTAGCGGTGGAAATGTCTAATTATACGCAGCTTTTAATATAAAATATGTATACGAGCGAAATGTACACCTAAAGCTTTGACGGTGGAATTTTTGCTAGTTGAAATTAAATCTCGAGTGGTAGGTTTTCCAGCTACATTTGAATGGTTTCACTAAGTGCGCTCGAGTCGGAATTTATTCGCATTTTAGCGAATTTTCGGCTTTTTTGCGAAAAAAGTTTTAATTAAATTCCTGTGATGTTATCCAGGTAAATTTTCCGATTCGCGTTTGTACAGAATTTGATTATTTTTGGACAATTTTTCGACGAATTCTGGCGCATTTCTGTTTGATGGGAACGAACTGATGCATATATTGCAATAAACTCTCGCTGCATTTCAACATTTTTCCTGTTACGGTCTTGGATGCGACCCAAATCAGGATCGGAATTGCACTAAACGACGTATCCTGCAATGTCTGCTAATAATTTTCCTGCAGTTACTGCACTCAGTCGGGGACTGTCACTCCTGAATTTCTTAACGTTCTTGGCTTTGCCAAAAACTGGTAGTAAACCACCGAAATTTTATGTATCTCAATGAGTTATTTTGCGGAGTTAATAATTAAGTGAGGATTATTCGTTTGCTGCATAAATTACGAACTCATTTAAGACACCAAAAAATCCAAACTGACCTAGTTAATAAGTTCCAATTTGTGGTGAAAAATGTTTTCCATTTCAAAGGATTAGCTTTCGGGGATTTTAGTGTAAACTTGGAACAAAAGTTTGCTAATACCCTCGCCCGAAACACAAATAAAACTGTCAACTGTGAAAGAGAAAATATGAAAAGTCAGGATCGTTTTCTCGCCGTTTTTTCCCGTTGATGTCGCAAGCAGAGATTCTTCGATGACATCGCGCTTCGTTTATCACGTTTATGGAGCGATATTTTTCCTCTTGTTTTAATTCAAAGCTTACATTAACGACACGGATTTTCCAACGGGAACGATTGTTACATAATGCATTCGAAAGATAGCAAATGGTCGGTTACAGTGGATTTTATAACTGAATTTTCATTCAACTATGCTTTTTCTCTTCGATTAAAATAAATTATAAACAATTACGTTCAATAAAACACGCGTTCGTGGAGATTAAAGTGGAAAATTCAGAACGTATATTATTAAAAGGAGTTGCTCATTCAATTGTAAATATATTCCAAACATAATCCCTGACAAACGCGAAAGAAGGAGAAAACCCGACGGAATATATTCGAGCAACAATGCTTTATGTATCCACTCTATTTAGGCATTGAGAGCCGCCGACAGCAACTAAATTTCCTTTCAATTTTTGTTTCGACGTTTCCACCGAGGATTTTATTTACACGAATTTACTTTTGCTTGATTCGGCAGATCCAATTTCCCGGCGAATCTTCTACAAAGTGCAACTACACCCACATATTGAACAAAGACTTTTGCTACAGTAAAGATCAAGTAAATAAAAACAATTTTTGAGTTACAGCGATCAATTTTGCATTCTCTCTATTGCCTACTGTAGGCATTTTGCGATAAGAAAATTGATCAAAAGTGTAAGAGTTAATCCAATTTAATGAGCTTATCCGCCTTTAAGATCCTTGACAATCAACTAAATATCAGAAACTCTTAAAAATAAACCTTCTTCTTTCTTTTTTCCACTAGTTTAATCGATTACTATCTACAACTAATCCTCTTAATTCTAATCTAATTTCATTGCATTCAAGTTCAAGTTTAAATTTAATTTAAAGCCTACCTACTGATGAATTAAAGAGGGTAAGTTACGCAATATTTTCTTATTAAATCCAACATTTAACCATGGGGCATATACAATGAAATAGTTTCATAACGAAGCACTCTCGCTTGGGGATCAGAACGATTGCCGTTTGCTAATCGGAGAGAACTTTATCAATTTCCTCTCATTTGACTTGGCAAT